TGGAAAAACTGTATTTATGTGCCTCCTGTGAGTTTACCGTTACCATGTAGCGGGAGTTTGTGATTGCTTGTGTGTCATCAATTGTGTCCGCAGGGACGTAATGGTTGTGGGTACACGAAATATGCGGCAACAGGAGTTTGTGTGACGACGAGTACCGTTGAATCTTATGCTGTGTATTTGCACACTGAGGCTGTTTGAACAGTGTCCCTAAAGAAGATGCACATTTCACTGTGACGTTCATCATTCTTCCGTCTTACTGGAGAAGCTGTAATCAGTGAATGTTGGTGCACTGCGTCCTTGTATTGTTGTTTGTTTTTTATTATTCTCCCACTGTCTTTTCTGCTCTTACTTACATCTCTCCATCCGCTCTGTCCGTGTTCATTCCTTCCTCCTGTCATTCTTTACTCTGTTGCTCCTTACCTTCCGGTCTATCCATCCCTCTGATCTGATTGGCCGATGCCACCTACCTCACTGTTTGGTCCGTCGCGCTGGCTCTGCCTCCTCCGGCGGCGGTGATCAGATCCCGTTCCCATGGCCCCGATGGGCACGCTGGCATCCCACACCGGGCAGAGGAATGTGGAGAGACGGGGGGGGGGTCCGGGGGGCCCGCGGCACAGTAATTAGCTCTCCGTGGTTAATTCAGCTTCGTTATCTAGATTATGCAAATGCCGCGGTGCCTAATTGATTGGAACGCCCCCCTCCTTTACATCGCGGGCCTGTCCGGGTCCCTCTCGTTAATCCTCGAGACGCCCTGTAGCTCGTTAGTGTGGTTTCGGGGGGGGGGGGGGGGGTCAGGGTGGGCATGTAGCTCGTTAATACTTGTGTGAGAGTAATATGAAGGGGGTGAATTCTCAACCTCGTTAGGGATGCTCTTGATGTGTAATTTTATGGCATGAGAAGCCCCCCCCCCGCCCCCCCCGTTCCCCCCTGAGATGGATGGATGGATTCAAGGTTTGTCGCTGCAAGTTCTTGCTCGCGTGAAGAAGCGCACCATCCGCGATGAGGTGGAGGCGGTAGAATCCCGCAGTTTGATCTATCTGAAGTGTTTTGGTTATTTGCGGCACAGTGATACGCGACCCAGCAGCTTCTTCCGATGCATTGAACGCGCGTCCCTTGGTTCATCCGGTAAAAGTGCATGGCCTATGAATAATTCTAGCAATTGAGTGGTCGTCGAGAAAGAATTGAATAATCTGATCAAATAGAATCTCCTTCCTCCGTGTTGCTCTTTTTTTTCGCGGGCTGCTGGTAAATGCTGGTGTTGGCACGTTGTCCGGCCCTCCTCATCCTCCTCGGCACGGGCCAAACCGAGATGGAGACCAGCAAACACAAACGCACCCCCTCTCGTTGGCCAGGCCCCTGCTCTCTCCTCGCCCCCCTGTTGACATCCTCTCCGTTGATTTGCGTTGCCGTTCTGCTTTCTCAGTCACCCCCCCCAATGCCTACATGAACCCCCTTCACCCATCTCGCATCAATCCATAAAGGCATTGAACCCACCCTGCCTCCCAAAACGCTCCACGCACTACCTCTTGGTCATTGAACCCCCCCGCCCCCCCTGCTGTCTTTGGTCATTGAGCAGGGCCCATCAGCTCTTCCCCGGGGCCCTTCAGAGAAGCGTCTCCCCTTTCTCCAGGGGTCTGCGGGGTCTTTGTCCGTGCACCGGCTCACTGCTTTACAATGACTCTCCACTCTATTAAGGTGCGTTCTGCCTGTTAGCGTCGCCAGGGGCAACTGGCCTCCCGCATGGCAGCTATGCGGCGCGGCATTGTGGGCCGGCCGGCCCGAGCGGGGCAGTTGAACCCCCGGCACTCCTCACACTTGACACCGCATGTGTTTATCTTAAGGGAGGGGGGGGGCTTTGTTGTGTTTGGAGAACCTCGTTGTGTGTGAGAGGAGGGGGGGGGGGGGCGCACGGGGTTTAAAAAGACGTAAAACTGGGGGGGAGAGGGAGAGTTTTGGGAAGTGATAAATATTCCACAGCTCAGCTTCTCAGAAGAGGTTACCCCCCCCCCCCCTCCACATTACCCTGTGTCCCCTCTCATGCCAGAAGCAGATGGAATGTGAGAGCTCGAGGAGGTGGCTCCAGTCTGGTTTTCTCCAATTAGCAGGGTTGTCAAAATGAATTTATCCACGGAGGCAGGGGGACAATGGGCCTGGCAGTGGCCCCCGGGAGAACAGGGGCCCCGGTGTCTTTACTTAGCACGCTCACAATGAACTTCTGTCAAGTGACTCCTTCCCACAATGACATATAAGGCACTCGCATACCTACTCGCGCTGCTCGCCTACACATCACCGCCTCAGCCGGGAGCTGCTCGGCCCGTCCCTCTATGATATATAAACACCTTTCCCCCCCCCCCAGGCCTTTTGATTCCCAGGTTACTCGAGACAAGTTCAGGTCAGAAAGTCTCTCTTAAAATACAAAAGTCAAGTTGCTTTCATGTTTCTGAATGTTGGACCATTGAAACGACGCAGCCTTTGAATAATTTAGGGTGTAAAATCCACCGATCCAGCTGTTTCGGGATGGCTTTGGCAATGAAAGACACATGTAAATGAGGAATTGTATGTAGTCATTTAATGTGTGTTGGTGACCTACTGATGCTCCTGAGTAAAATATGTTTTTTCAAATTCTCCTTAAATGCCTTTTATTAACTAATGTGTGACAATGCGAGGCCCCCTCGCTGCAGGGGCCCGGTGCTTGAATCTTCTAGTGTGATGCAATTTCCTTCCTTTACGTACCGATGAAGATGATTTGACTTTGGTTAAGCCGCTTACTTTAAGGATTGAACCAGACCTTTTCACCGGTCCAAATAGCTTTACTTCCGTAGTCGTACTTGAAGGACCGGCCGATTCGAGCGGCTCAAACTGTTCTCTTCAGTGCACTAAAGTGTGTTTTATTTCTACAGCGCTGTTATAAAACATTAACACCCACATTCCCTCGGTTGTTAATTTAGGAGAGCTGTGTGTCTCTGGTTCTTATCAGCCTCGCTGATGCGTAGGAGGCTTCTCCCTCCCTCCTTCCCTCCCTCCCCCTCTCTCTGAAGTCTCAGAAGGATGGATGGAAATAGTTGGACATGAATGTCAAGGGAACTTTTCATCTTAAAGCCCAGATGACGAATGAGTTTTTTTGGGTGGGGGTGATGATGTACGAGGGGCCTCCTTATACCGCCGATAGAACAAAGCTCTCTCTCCCCGTTCTCCTTCTCCTCCGGCGGCCTTTATCAGTCAGGTCAGAGGGCTCGTCGGCGAAGGAGCGTTTCCCGCGGCGTGTCCGGGTGGCGGGTTTGACTGGTGTGGTTTACGGTTGGTGACTCTCCCGGTTGGGACAGGTGCTCCATGCAGATGTGTGTGTGTGTTTTTGTAATGGGTTGTGTCCGTAGAGCGAGCGGCCACTGAAGCCGCAAACCTTCCGCTTTGCTTCCAGGTTCCCCGGCGGCTCGCTGTTTTGTTTACTGAGCGAGCCCACTGCTGTAATTTAAGTGTGCGCTGTGGGTCACTGTCAATATCCAGAACACGGAATATACCTGTCGCATAGAGAAGTTTGACTTGCGTTAGCCGCGCAGAGCTTGTGTGTGTGTGTGTGTGTGTGTACACGTGTACAGAGAATCCAAATTGTAGTCCGGTTCAGCTTCTCTGAAACACGCTTCATATATTTGCGTGTGGATAAGCTAACCGGTTTTGAGGTACAACCTCAATAGTTGAAACCGTGGTTTGTGTGTACAAGTTGTTTCTGCTGCTCAAAGCAGCCCAAATAGGTTATTGCAGGATAATTACGTTAATAAAACCGATCAGCCAATCAGAACTGCTCTTTATTGTGCAACTTGGACTGTGTTCTCTTAAGCCGTTTGTGTTGTGAGAATTAAAAAAAATCAAAAATTTTACACACAATCATACTTTGCAAAGCGGCTCAGCATGGCAGCTGAAAAGCACATTTTCCACAACCGCGCCAGGCAGCCAAACATTTTCACTGCTGCCATTAAATGATGAAGGTGAACTGCAAGAGTTTCCATTCTCTTACTGTCCTGCTTTGACCGTGTGTGTGTGTGTGTGTGTGTGTGTGTGTATATTGTGTTTGTGTGCGCAGTGCATCGTCTACCACTACTTCATTAATTCTCTTTGTCGTAATAAGATCTGGACAACTACGTATGAGAAAGTTGTGCGCTTCCATTTGTACTACGTTGTCGCATGTTCACATACATGCATGCATGCATGATGTTGCACCCTTCTACATGCATGCATGCATGATGTGAGAGGGAGAATGCGAGACGCAGTCCTGCAGGACCACCCTCCTCATCCTGACGGGAAGTTGTTAGTTTAACCTGACAGGAAAGAATTTGGGAAACTTGGCAGAAAGCGACAAGGGGGGAGAGCAGCCCGCCCGTCTCTACGTTAACCGTTAATAGGCCGACTGTTAACATCATTTTCTCCCCCCCAAAAAAACCATAGCACAACTCTCCATCTCGCACATGCTCCCCGCTGCTGCGATGCCCCCCCCCCCCCCCCCCCGCCTGCCTCTCATTAGTTGTTCTTTGTCTCCGCTCCTGAATGCAGCCTGTGTGTGTTTCCCCTCGCCCCCCCTTGCACCCTTCTACCTGTATCGGTTACACCTGAGCGGCGAGGCCGAGGGGTCGGGTTACGGCCCTGCGGAATGAGGGCGCCCCTTTGATGCGCGCTGGCTGGATGGGTGCGGGTACAGGCGGAGGAGATGGGGCGGGGGGTCAGCGCTGAGATGGGGGCTGACGGAGAAGAAAGGCTTTATTTGTGTCTGGCTGCTGAGTGTACGGTGCACCCCCCCCCTCACCTGGGTTGTGTTTCGTTAATGGCTACCTGTGTCTGTGTGTGTGCGCTGGTACGATAGAGAGCAGCTTACGTATGAATCCAGATGGACGACGGATGTTTTTGTGTGTATTGGCGTCTATCAGAATAAAGTGGTTTGTACGTCTTGTTGTTTTGAGCGTCGTCTGTAAATGACCCTTGACCTTCCCGTGTGTGTTTCTGTGTTTCAGCGAGCAGTGTATGGAAGATGTCTGGAAAGCGAGACTGGACTCCGTGGATGAAAAAGAGAAGGGCTCCAGTGTTGTGCGCTCTGGGTGCAGTACTGCTGTGCTGCCTGCAGAGCGGCGCCTCGCTCTCTGGTGAGTAGACGAACTGAGATGGTGGAAAACTGGATGATTCTGCAGAAATTAAAAAAAAAAACCGTACTCACTTAATCCCTGCCAACGTTATGAATGCCTTTTTACATGAATTTTTCCAAGCACCTGGTGCAGGAAGGTGTTCTGGCTCAGTCAAAGTGAGCGAACTGTTTGGCAGTTTATTTGATATGTGGGGGGGAAGTGGGTAGTTTTGCATGAGCCTTGCTAGCCGCCATGGACAAACTGATGAAGAAAAGAATCACTGTATTTAGTGCTGTGTTGACTGTCCTGTTATTCCATTAGTACATCTGTTGATAATTGATTGATTATACAAGATACAAGCAAAACCCAAACGTGTGTGTGCGTGTGCGTGTGTGTGCCCTCCGTCCTCAGACGAGGTGCCGTCGTTCAGCGAGGAGCCCATGTCCGTGGTGCAGAAGCTGGGCGGCAGCGTGAAACTGCTCTGCAGCGCCCGACCCGCCTCCGCCAACATCAGCTGGCGCCTCAACGGCCGGGAGCTGGCGCAGGGACGTTCGGGCGTAGTGCTGCGGCCCGACGGCCTGTTCATCCCCACCCTCTCCAACCTGACGGTGGGCCGCTACCAGTGTGTGGCCAGCACCGCCGCCGGAGCCCTGGCCAGTGTGCCCGCTGACGTCACCGCAGCGAGTGAGTAGCCACTCACGCAAAGTTCAGACAAACAAACACGCGCACATCATTTTGGGTTTGTCAGAGTATGCAAACAACGCTTTTGACTTAATTTTGCTCTGAATAAAACATAAACAGTGAAGGGGCTGTATTTGTTTGCTTTAAATCTTTTTAGCGTTTTCTTTTTCCACTGCTGTTCATGTTGGTCCCTTTTTTAATACGTCCAGGTAGTCGAGCAGTATTTAGTCTGAGAAGTTAAATAAAGCAGCGGCTCTTATCGAGCGTCGTATTGATCTGATGGAGCTAAAGGGAATCATTCTCACCGCTGGCGTTTCTTTAGTGTGTGCGTTTCATTTGATATGCATCAAGGGGCCGAGAAAGGCGCCTGAAGCTGTGTAACTTGAGCTGTAGGAATGGAGGAGACGTGGGGGCCGTTCGGAGCAGGGGAAGAGGGGACCAGGAACTCTGGGGGGGGCGGGGGGCCCTGCTTCTATCGGCCCCGCTGCTCCACACAACACCACATTCCTCTCCACGGGGCCCGACACAAATTATGGCAAATGGGTGGAGGGCTGGTGGGATAAGGATGGTGTCTGTGTGTGTATGTGTTTGGGGGGGCAGCAGAGCATTTGCCTCACTGTAACACACCTTTGGGTAAAATGCACTGTTCACTGTATTGTTTTGCATGTAGTGATGTGTGAGGCCGCCATAGTTGGAGGAACCGGAGGTGTTTCAGGCCAGTCGAGACAAGATCCTGACGGAGGACGAGACGTGGTGTCACATTCCCCCCCCCGAAGGCCTCCAGGACGCATCTCTCTTCCTTTGCACGTTTTTCTTTCTTTACCCTTTCACTTTCCCTCCATCTTTGTCACAGAGATCCTCTCCCCACCCCCCCCCCCCCCCTCGTCCTTCCTTGCACTAAGGCAGTAAAAGTTATTGATTGTTTCAACAGTGGATAAATTGGGTTGAGATAACCACATGTGGAGCCAGTTCTCCCCTCCCCTCCATAAAACCTCCTAATTCAATAACTCGTCCGGCCCCAAACCGTCTCAGGAATGGCTCCACGGGGAGTGTGTGTCTGTGTGTGTGTCTGTGTGTGTGTCTGTGTGTGTGTGTGTGTGTGTGTCTGTCTGTCTGTCTGTCTGTCTGTGCCGGCCTCTGCATGCGAGCTCACTCAGTACCAATAGGTTGATTCCAGACCCTCCTCGCCATCCGCCTCTGATGAAGCTTTCATTTTTTGGCATAGGTTAAAAGCTCCTCTCTTGAATTCTTGTGTAGACAATCCCCCCCCTTTTTTTTTGCTGCATAAAACAGACATGTATCTGCACTACACGAAGGAAGAACACGTTGCACAAACATGTTATAATGCAGACACACACACACACACACGCCTCCTGCTGCTACACATAAAGATGATGAATGCACTGTCTGTAGAAATATTCAGGTCGGCCTTGCCAAGCGGCCCTCGTGCGGGAGGTCTGCTTCACTTTATGAATACCATCAATCCTCCATCCCTGCAACACACACGCACGCACACACACACACAGGGATAGATGTGCACGCACTTACACCTGAGAGGCAGCCATGCGGGGTTCTTCCTGTGAAGAATGTGTGGGGGGGTTAAAAGGTGTAACAGGAGGAGGAGTAAGGTGGGATGGGTAGAGATGGGGGGTTCTGTAAAAACAACGTCTGATTGATTTAGCAAATGGAGCGCCACACGGCCCCCCTTTTAAGGCCCCACACACACACACACACACACACACACACTGCCAGACCGCGCGGTGGATCCAGCGTGTACGGTGAATAGATCAGCTGGCTGCCATGAAGGTGTTTGTTCAGTGCTTTGAGTAAATGCCGTTGTTGTCCCTATCAGCAGACACTCTGGCCGTAACTGAAGTTTCCCTCTTAGAGCTGCGTCCCATCAGCTGGCTGTATATACCAGCAGCCCGGCCTTCTCGCCAGAGAGCGCGTAGCCGGTCCAAGAAAAACAGGGCAGTTATTACACCTCTGGAAAGAATGGAGAGAGGCCGTATTTGTTAAGAATAAATCAACAAGGACTGGTAGGCGTTTAATTACGTTCCCGGGGAAGTTTGATTTATCTTTCATTTCACTGCTTGACTCCTTCATGACAAATTTCTTCAGTTGTTGCTTTGTTTTTCCACTGCTGTGCTGTTGCCTTCCCTCTTTTTTTTGGAGTCATTTTACTTTCCCTCCCGTCTCAAATCTATAAAATGGCAGCACGACCTTTTTTTCTTTTTCTTCTGGCTTATTCAGGTCAAAGTTTTGCTGCTTTCTCCCAAACTGGATAACTTTCTTTGAAATGCTATAGGATGGTCACCTCTCACCTTTGACCCCATGGCCAGGCCTCCGGGCCACTAAGGCAAGGGAAGGAAGGAAGGAAAGGAGGGGGGGGGGGAGGGTTAGGAGGTCAGAGGTCACATGAGGGGTCTGTGCTGCGTAGACTGAGTGTCTGTGGGACACAGTCGCAGCACATGGCCCCCAGTAATCCCACTCCACCCAGTTCCCACTGAATGTGACCCGGCTCCGGTCCCAGTATAATGTCAGACGGGATCAATGACACCGGCTCTGACGCTTTGGACTCGTCCAAAAGGGGGATTATTCAGTAAAAAAATGAAAAATGAGCTGGAGCCGCACGGTTCCTGCGACTCGGATGATGTAATACTCGCGGGGATGGAAATGAGCGAACGGAGCAGACGCATTGGACGTTGTGGGAGTGCGGTTATGATACAACGAGGACACCAAATGTGGCTGCGGCGCAGTTATCTGAGAGTTTGTTATTCCTCAGACGATTGTGGGCTTTTAAGTACTTTAAAAGTCCAGCAACTCACCGTATACATTTACACAAAGAGCGGCGTTTTGGGCTGGGGGAACGTTCGCAAATAACTTTTCTTTCTTTTCTTTCCCAGAGCTGCGTGATTTTGAGCGCGATGACCAGCAGGAGATCGAGGTCGACGAAGGCAACACGGCCGTTATTGAATGTCACCTCCCCGAAAGCCAGCCCAAGGCTCAGGTCCGCTACAGTGTCAAACAGGAGTGGCTGGAAACATCCAAAGGTAGCGAGCCGCTTCAGTGCACTGACATCTCCCCGAATCTCCCCCTGCCTCCCGCCTAATCGCCAAACGGTCTTTATAATTTACCGGAATGCTATAATCCTGCTATCTGACCCCATCGTGAAACCGGTGATAAGGGTCTTATCTCGAGAATGTTTAAACACGGGAATACGGTTGTTTATTCTGCAAGCCGTTTACTTTTAAGTTGCTTGGAGGAACAGCGAGACTGCAGTGGTTTGTGGCTGGTATGCTGATGATGCCTGGGAGCTGTAGGCACTGATATCTGCAGCTTATCTGCGAGGAAATGAATACCACATTGACGAGCGTCAGACTCTGGGGCGCCACCTTGTGCTCAACTGGACTGGAATGGCACATTGCACTATTGTACTAAGCTGCTATTTGCACTCAAGCGTTGAGACAAATTGCATGGTGCATTTGTCTCATTGACAAACCCTAAAACACTAAGACACATTTTCTGATTTCATTACGATCAATACACAATCATCCTTATTTCAGGTGTACTTGTAATTGTTCTTGTTTACTGTGAACATTATCCTGCATTCCTCTGAACATATTGTAAGAACAAGACAAGAAATAAAATATAATAAAACCAACGTATTCTGAGTAATTTGCGCTCACATCTGTTTGGGGTTCATCTTATTTATTCATTTTCCGACAGGGAACTAAGCCTGCATCATGCCGTCAGGGAACCTGCAGATAGCCAACGCCACGCAGGACGACGAGGGGCCGTACAAGTGTGCCGCCTACAACCCCGTCACCCAGGAGGTCAAAACATCCACCTCAACCGACCGCCTGCGCATCCGCCGTGAGTCACGAGTGTCCCATCAGGATCGCAAACTCAAAAGATGCGTAAGACCTCGATGTTCACGCCGCCCCCGTCTCTCTCTCTCTCTCTCTCCCAGGCTCCACCTCGGAAGCGGCTCGCATCATTTACCCGTCGGGGTCTCGCTCAATCATGGTGACCAAAGGCCAGCGGCTGGTGCTGGAGTGTGTGGCCAGTGGCATCCCCGCTCCTCAGGTCGTATGGGCGAAGGACGGGCGGGACCTGCGCTCCCGCAACAACACGCGCTTCCTGCTCAGCAACCTGCTGATCGACGCGGCGGGCGAGGCCGACTCGGGCACCTACGTCTGTCGAGCGGACAACGGCGTGGGCGAGGCCAGCTCCGCGGTTTACGACGTACAAGTGTTTGGTGAGTAAAGCGATGGTCTCTTTATAAATCGCTATATAAAAGTTCCCGTCAATGCTTTTCATAGTAAAGGAGGTTTTTCTTCCTTCGACTTTGTCTGTGTCATGGATTTAATAATTAGACCGACTCCTGTTTGGCGGACTGAGAGGACAGGTGTGTGTGTGTGTGTGTGTGTGTGTGTGTGTGTGTGTGTGGGTGTGGGGCAAGTGAGCCTGGGCGGTGTTGTGTAAGAATTAACTTTGTGGAGACAGAGGCTCTCTGTTCGCTAGCAGGACTTGATTGAGTGTGTGTAGGTTATGGATGACTGTTTTTACAGTGATTTTCTCTGTGTGTGTGTGTGTGTGTGTGTGTGTGTGTGTGTGTGTGTGTGTGTGTGTGGTGGGCTTGTCTCTGCAGCTGGCTGTAATTAAAGCCAGCGAGCTGCTGTAATGAGCTCTGCCTTTGCCTGATTCACAAGCACTCAACCATCAACTGGCTGGCCTGGCTCTGCCTGCCCGCCTATATACACTGCCTGTCATACAGCCCTCTCACACACACACACACACACACGCACACACAGTGTGCTCATACATGCGACTTTGTTGGAGCGTGGCGGCGTTTTAAAATGGTGTTTAGGAGTCCGTCGCCAACGCGCACAGCAACGCTCGGCCTTCCTTCCAGGTCTTGAACCGGCCTCTTATCCTCTGTCCGTCTCCCCCCTGCAGAGCCTCCCCAGGTGACCGCGGTGCTGCTGCACCAGCAGGAGGTCGCGTACGGCGACGCGGTGCGCTTCACCTGCCAGGTCCGCGGGAAACCCGTCCCCTCGGTGATGTGGCTTCACAACGCCCGTCCCCTGGCGCCGTCCCCCCGCCACCGCCCGTCCGCCCGGATGCTGCGGGTCTCCAACGTGGGCCCTCAGGACGACGGGCTGTACCAGTGCATGGCTGAGAACGGGGTGGGCAGCTCACAGGCTTCCGCTCGCCTGATCACCGTATCGACCGGTAAGTCGCGGTGGGGGGGGGGCGGCGGTGTAAAGCATTTGTTAGAAACGTAGTTATTTGAATGCCGAAGCGTTTCTGATCTAACGCCGTACGTCTCCGCTCTTTAGGGATCTCGTCCAGGGGGAAGCTGCCCTCAATCTATCGGCCGCTCAGCCCGGACAAGGTGCTGAGAGAGCAGCCGCCGGTGAGGCCCGGGGCCGCGGGGGCCATGCTGCCCCTCGACTGCTCCGAGGTGCCGGGACAGATCCTGCCCGCGGAGGCCCCCATCATCCTGAGCCTGCCTCGCACAGGCAAGGCGGACTACTACGAGCTCACCTGGAGGCCGCGGCATGAGCGAGGTGGCCCCGTGCTGGAGTACATGGTCAAATACAGAAAGGTACTGCAGTCAGAGTGCAGAGCGTTCTCTGTTTGAACACATGAATGTTTTCTTTCATGTTCTTTGTCAGTAACTGGTGCCTCGGTCTCTCTCTCAGGTGGGAGATGCTCTGGCAGACTGGACCTCCAGCAGTATCTCAGGGACCCTCCAAAAGCTGACTCTGGCTAAGCTGCAGCCAGACAGCCTGTATGAGGTGGAGATGGCCGGCAAAAACTGTGCAGGTTTGGGCCAACCTGCTATGATGACCTTCAGAACTGGCAAAGGTAAAAAAAAAGAAGTCACTTTAGCATTGTCATTTGGAAAAGGTTGTGGTACTTTGCATTTTGGCGTGAAGCGCCGCTCAATGCGGTGCAGCCTCTCCGAGCTGCTGGCAGGATCTGTGGATTTGTTCGAAGGTTCCTTCTGCCCAAGAAGAGAATTCATTTAAAAAGTGTTGCATGGCTCAGCGATCGGCTCCGTGATTAAAACTGTTCTCACTGGCGTTTTCCCGTCTTCAGGTCGCAGAGGTTTAGGGCAAGTTGACCCACCGAAAACTCCCGCCGTTCCTTCGCCGAGCCTCTCTCGTAAGTCACCCACCGGTCCTCAAACACTACCACTCATTAACTATACTAACCATAAACCGTTCTCCTACTAAATGAACTTCCACAGCAAAACCCTAAACTAACCATTCTTCTTTTGACCACTTTTCACTCTTTTTTTTGCCTTTCTGTCTCTGAAGGATGAGCTCTCAGTAAGTGCTGAATGTAATCTGTTTTTCCTCCACTGTCGTATTTGCTAATTACATAATCAGTGTTGTCTCCTAAGTGTATGTCCTCTATCTGACGCCGCTCCTCCTGCTCCGTGCAGCTCCAGAGGCCCCCGACAAGCCCACCGTCTCCACGGCAACGGAAACGTCTGCGTACGTGTCTTGGATTCCCCGCGCTAACCGCGGCTTCCCCATCCAGTCGTTTCGGGTGGAGTACAAGAAGGTGAAGAAGGCCGGCGAGGACTGGGTGACAGCGGTGGAAAACATCCCCCCGTCGAGGCTCTCTGTGGAGATCACGGACCTGGAGAAAGGTCCGCCATCTTCTTCATACAGTGTTATTATTCACGGAGGTTGATTCTGACTGGGGGGGGGGGCGTAAGATGTCGTACCACATAATTAAAATGATGCCGTCCCGCATGATTACATTCCCACAGCCTGTGTTGCTGCAGTCATTTCAGCGATTGCTGCCATCAATCAAAGCCATGTCCCAATCACAGAAAAGGAAAACATAGTGACGTGGAGACAAACATTAGTCAACACAAATTTGGCCTCATTGTATTGTTGGAACCCCTCCCCCTCCCCCCCGCCGGGCCCGATGAGTCATGGTGATCCCTCTACCTGCAGGCACGTCCTACAAGTTTCGCGTCGTGGCGGTGAACGTCATCGGCTCCAGTCCTCCCAGCGCCCCGTCGAAGGCGTACACGGTGGTGGGCGGGAGAACCCACGAGCGGCCCGTCGACGGACCCTACATCACCTACAACGAGGCCATCAACGAGACCACCGTCATCCTCAAATGGACGGTGAGTGGCCGGAAGGAAAAACGCAACACCCCACCCCCCACCCCCCAAAAAAAAAACAATGTGGTTTTCATTGTGATGCTTAAGTCATTTGTTTTTCCTTCCTCTCTCCCCCCAACAGTACACTGCAGTAAACAACACCCCCATCTACGGTTTCTACATCTACTACCGGCCGACGGACAGCGATAACGACAGCGACTACAAGAAGGACGTGGTGGAGGGAGACAGATACTGGCACTCGATCACCGACCTCCAGCCGGAGACGGCTTACGACATCAAGATGCAGAGCTTCAACGAGAAGGGGGAGAGTGAATTCGGCAACGTGGTGATCCTCGAAACGAAAGGTGAGCTCATTTTTTATCTTGGCGGTGGGCCTGCAAGTGACTTTTGGCATAACAAACATTTACCTTTTCAGATGTCTTCTTTTTTTCGTCCTCTTCTTAAAACAGACGGTTAACTTTTTGTCTCCTCAGCTCGTCCTAATCACCATCGGCCCACACCGTCGGAGACCCCGGATTCCAGGTTCGAAAGCCCCAGCGGACTGGTGCCGCGGCCCGGCGACCTCCCCTACCTCATAGTTGGCATCGTCCTGGGAGCCTTCGTCTTCATCATCGTCGCCTTCATCCCCTTCTGCCTTTGGCGGGCCTGGGCCAAGCAGAGTGAGCGCTCCTCTCGGTTCCCTCTTTGCGGTCGTTGAAGTGTTCGCCTCCACATCCGCCTGATTTTCCCCGCCTCTTTTTTGTTCTGTTTCAGAGCAAACGGCCGACCTGTGCTTCCCCGCCGCGGCCGCCCCCGCGTCCTCGTGCCAGTACACCATGGTCCCCCTCCAGGGACTGGCTCTGGTCGGTCACTGCCCTCTGGACGGCCGCGCACCGCCGCCGCGACACGGCGGCTACCCTGCTAACGGGGAATACGACCCCAACAGGAAAGCTTGCCCCGCCACGCGCGGCCTGCCCGGGCGCCAGCAGGTAAAAACTACTCCCAATAGATCCACAGGTTCAGAAATGGAAAAGCTCGTAATGTGACTCTTGAACCTGTAACCTATATGCTGTGGTGTCTCGCAGGAGGAGGGGCACTGCAATATGGAGTGTGACACGTTGTTGCCCCAGACGATGTCAAATGGACATCTGCCTGCTTACCACCAGTACTCGTCCAGGTACGTCTACGTACGCCGTAGTTACTGTGAGGGACTGAAGGACCGTACGCAAATAACTTCAATCAACTAATGTGAATAATTATATAAATTATATCTATATTTATACTTAGTGGTGCAGATCATCACGAACAGAGCTGCTGTCCTCCTGACGACTCCACTCTGGAGCTCCTCGACAACTCCCATCAGCACCTCTGTTCACGGGAATTGGAAGGTGACGGCGACTTCTTTGATGGCGATGAGGTCGAGGACGGCTTCACTTACAGTACGTGTGGATTCTTACATTTGTTGAGTGAATTGCTCTTCAGTTGGTTGATTTGGAACAAGGCTTTTCTCATACGATTCATACGTACGATTCAACTCTCTCTCTCCTCTGCAGAGCCGGCATCCTACCCTCATCTCTCTCTAGAAGACGAAGGGATTTTCACCACTTCGTCTTCAGCAGCCTCGACGCCGCAATCCGCTGACGTAAGAATACAGGAAGTGAACATCCTCCCGAGTGAGGGGTCCCCTGAGGACGGAGGGACCGCCAACACAAGAGACGCTTAAGAGACAGTTCCACAAACGGAAGAAAACAAGAGAAAAAAATATTTATTTTTGTATCACAGATATTTATATATTTAAGCTTTTTGTACATACTGATTATACTGTATATTAGTTTATTTTCACATTGGAAAAGAATCTCGCTGAGCTGTCTGCATTTCCCGGGGAGGACAAATGGACACGAGACGTTGTTCCTTGTGTGAAGAAGACGACGACCAGTCGAGGGACCTTAAGCCTGCAGTTCAGCACTTCATCACTAGACCTTCCTCACTCCCTGAATTGAATCACCGGTACTTTGCTCCATGTACAACAAACAAAGGGACCGTTGCTGCAGTCGTGAGCCGCTTCTTTGCTGTTTAGTTCTGTTGCTTCTGTTACATATTCACAACCGTCACTTTGTATAGCAATAACACAAATGTATTATGGATTGCTCATTAACAATATATTAACACGTGTATGCACCATAAATCATTTTCTGTAGCGTACAAGAGATTATATATTGTATAGTTATTTATTTTTATGTTTTTTTTTTTTTTTTACCACTGAATGGGAGATTCTGGAAAAACTGTCTTAAACTCAAGTCATTGATAAGCTGAACTTCACACTGCAACCACTTCTGTGTTTACTCATTTGCTGGTTACCAAATGCCTGCCAGGTGAAGGTCGCTGTGACGTGCGTCAGTATTACTCCTCCACCACCGGTCGGTGCATCAAGTATTAGTCTTTGCCAGAGACGTCTGCAGTCAGAATGAAGGAGATCCTGAATCTCCACCCCCCCCCCCCCCTCTCAGTGTGGCTGTTGTGTGGTTGCACATGCTGGAGCACTATTGCTTGTAAATAAAAGCCTATGAAATTGGCCGGTGTTTGGTGCATCTTTTTAATCTTTTAATTTGTGTGGTGATCGCATTCTGAGAACTATGGTAATGCATTTTTCTATAAGTTGTCAAAATTGTCACATCAAGGAATAAAGTCACAAGTTGGTGGATATTTAAAAAAAGTTAAAGTGCCATCTAGTGGAGCAAGAACCACACACGTCTTCAGTTGGCAGCAAATACAAATGTCTCCGTATAAACTTTATTAATCAATCTTGTATTTACAAATACATAATCTAACAATTCTGATATGAAACATTGGTATTTACAAAATGGCTCTCGGACAAAAAACTGATTCTGTACAGCACAACCTGATATAAGTTAGTAAATTACATTGGTAGGAAACTGCAGGTTTTAGTGACCCACAAACAATTTAATTCAAGCTCTAAACATTTTGTTTTACTACCAAACAGTCGGTTTAACCAACAGAGAACTTAAAACAATTATATTTTCATGTCACCTTAAATTTAAAAGATTTTGGAAATATTTCAAATAACGTTGACATCCTACGTATGCCAGTCGGATCAAATCTGACACCAAAAACCGCGTGAACATGTAAACCGTCATCAGGTGCTTCACCACCTCTTTCTGACCTCATTGAACACCTGTCCATCAGAGCGCGGCGGATCCTGGCCTCACACGGCGGAGCTGCCGTCGTGGCCCAGGATGTGGCTGATGTTGTGGGCGGGCCGGTTGGGCTGCTTGCCCGAGTCCGCGGCCGAGGAGTTGGAGAGGGACAGCAGGGGGGACATCGGCATGGCCGAACCGTCGCTGGTCATGCCTGTGGCGATCTCCGGGAACAGGGAGGTGAGGCTGAAGTTGGAGATGTGGGGTGTGATCCCGGAGGAGTTGGCGATGGGCATCGGGGGCATATCCGGGAGCAAGGGGAAGCTCCCCTGGCCAAACCCCACGGGGCGAGGCGGGGAGAGGATCGAGCTGAAGCGGTTATTGAGCTGGGGGCCGCTGCCCTTGTCGGCACTTGGGCTTGTAAACATTTGGTTGGGAAAGTACTGGAGGGTGACGTCGCTGGGGAGGCTGGGGTGAGCGGCCGGAGAATACGAGGTGTAGAAGGAGGGCAGGGTGTTCTGGGGCTCCACGGGCAGAAGGGACGGCGTACGGGCGGCGTTGGGCTGGCTGACCGGAGGGATGAATGTGGAGTTGGCGTTGATCGGAGGCGGAGGATTCATCCCTCCCTCCGGCATGAAGGGGAAACCAAAGTTCTGCGCCAGGTGTTGGTCGGGGACCATGTTGTTGTCGCTAGGAACCTGGGCGGTGTCTGCCATAAAGCGAACGATAGTGCTGCGCCGCGCCTCTCCTCCAGACTGCGGTCTGCTCAGCAGCATCCCGCCTCCCGACGGCAGAGGCAGGTGGCCCTCGGGCTCAAAGGGGTTGCTCTGCCTCAGAGTACCCGAGCGAGGCCGGTCCCCGGGTCTCAGCTTGGTGGCCTGTGGGTCTCGAGAGATGTGGCGGGAGTGCTGGCTTACGGCGGCGGTCGTTCTGCCGCCGGCCGGAGAGCGGCCTGGCTCAGAGCTGCTGTGTGGGGTCAGAGGGTGGGGGAGACCTGAGCGCACACCCGGGCCTCCGTGCATGTTGCTGCCAACCTGAGAAACGTGGCCCTTGTTGGGCTCGCCGTGCCGCATCGCAGTGGCCTTCTGTGTCTGGGCGGCACCGGGGCTGGAGGCCTTGGCCTGGAGGTCTCCCGAAGAGCCCCCCGGCACACAGCTGTACTCCATGCCGACCGGCGGGCAGCACTGCACTGCTCGCTGGTGGTTGCTCTGGTCAGACAGGTGGGGGGAAAGAAGGCTCTGCATGAAACTTTGGTGACATCCTTCCTGCTCCCGGGGGAGGCCCACTTGTACTCCCTGCGAGCCCGGGTGAGCTGCACTGTAGCGGTTACGGCCATCCGAGGGAGGGCCGACGCCCATCCTGAACCCGCCTTGAAGTTGCCCCTGAGGGACCCTCTGAGATGACGCCACTGACTTGGGGGCCATGTCGCTCCCACGCGACACCTGAGCCTCGAAGCCACCGAGTTGATGCACCCCTCCTCCCATGGTCTTGAACGGCGGACACTCGGAGACCCGCTGAACATCCGCCGTTCCCGAGTGGTCGGAGGGCAAGCGATTCTGCGGGTTGTGTGCAATGCCCGCCTTCCCCCGGGACGTGTCGAGATAACCACGGAGGTCCGGCTGCTCCTGTGCGGCGCCGCGGCCAGGTTGCAGGTGGAGACCCATGCGCTGCTGCTGTTCGCCGGTGGTGGAACTTTTACCAATGAGCGCCTCGGCAGAATAGCTGGAGACGCGGTGGCGTTCCTGCCGCGAGGGCACGCAGGCCAGGTCAGATGACCGGGACACAGGGTTGCTGGGAGGAGGGATGAGCTGCTGCTCCAGAGGCCGAGACGTCATCATCCTCTGCATAGCGTTGTGGTCTTGGCCGGGCTGAGGGAGAGGAACAAAGCGTTATCTTCAAATGAAAGTCTTAATCATTTAATCAATATTCATCGACCTTCGTTCCTGTCACCTTAAATACATTTCTACAGCAACATTTAATACCTCAGGAGAAAGGATGCTTTTTCACTGCGTAGCCCAGGAGAGAAAATAGCCAGTCAGAAAGCATTTGGTTTTTGTTTTCATGATTACAAGAAAAAAAAAATACCAGCACACCAGTTTTCTGACCCGCTCGAGAAAAGTCCCTCCTGAGGTAGTGATTAGATCATTTAATCATACGGAAAAAACTAAAGGTCATTAGAAATGGTGTTTAGTACACACACACACATACAACAATCGAGCCACGTATTGCGATTACGTTGGTAACATTTCGTGTGGTTTGATGTGAAATTGAAAAAAAAAAATTGGTTGGTTTTGAGCTGGAAATGCCAGTTGAATAAAAAGATACAAAGACAAGATGAATTTAGGTAAAAGGAGGTGCCACTCGAGCAACCTTTTTGGCTAAATAATAAGTTGTCCCATTAACTTTCACTCGTCCAATCTATGTGACACCAACCTTGAGGTGGTCCTGCGGGGCCAGGTGGCTGCTGTGGTGGACCCTGGATCCCGCTGACTGGGCCTCACACTTCTCCTGGTGTCTAAAGTGCTGCTGCTGCTGCTGTTGCTGCTGGATCTGCTGCTGTAGGTGCTGCTGTTGTCTGGAGTGGGAGCTCTGCTGCTGCTGCTGTAACTGCTGTTGATGTTGTTGTTGTTGATGCTGTGTCTGCTGTTGATGTGCTTGCTGTTGGTGCTGCTGGGCATGAGCCTGTTGGTGTTGAGTCGGCTGTTGATGCTGTTGTGATTGTTGGTGAGACTGTTGTTGATGCTGCTGCGTGTGTGGTTGATGCTGCGTCTGTTGTTGTTGTTGATGTGAGTGCTGCTGCTGAACTCCAGACTTCTCCAGGTGGTGCTGCTTCTGCTGCAGGCCAGCGGGTGAACCAGTCGGACTGCCTCTGACAAGCCCTCGCTTCTTCTGCACATGCTGCTGCTCCTGCTGCTGCTGCTGTTGCTGCTGCTGAAGCGCCCTCTGGTGTAGCGAGTGGAGCTGTGCGGGGTCCGGCTGTGTCAGGTGGTGTTGCAAATGATACAGATGGTGTCTCTGCTGGTCTTGCTGCTGCTGTTTCATGTACAGGTTTCCTCCCAGGTGCTGGCCGGGTTGGCTTGCGGCATGCTGTGGATGACCCTGGGGCAGATGAAGCACACCCGCCTGGTTCTGCTCGAGGGCTCCTTGAGGAGGGCAGTGGCCATCTGTCGGCCGTACCACCGGGCTCATGAAAGAGTTTGTGGAGAAGAGGGGGCCTGCGCTTTCTGAATTAATCCTCTTCATGACAGCCGAGGACGTGGGCGGCAGCTGTCCCACCATCATCTGGCTGTGGTCGGGCACTTTCAGGTCCATATGGCTGACATTGGCAGCCGACGGAGGGCACGGCTTGGGCCGTTTTCCAGCGTTAAGCATCACCTCTTCCTGGGCCTGCCGTTTAGAGATGATCTTGCCATGCCGCTCACCTACACCGACTCCTCCCTGAGTCCTCATCAGCGCAGTCTTCAAGGGGGTGTACTCATTTAATTGGGCCACACCAGAGCAGGGCGAGAGGGTGTTGCTTGGGGGTTGGGGTATGTGGGCTGAGCTCCCTACAGGTGAAGGAACTGAGCCCTGCTGGACAGCAAGACTGGGGGAGCCAGGGTAGTGTTGCTGAGTGGAGCTGGGCCGGATCAGGTTGTTGACGCTGAGACTCGCCACGGTGCCGCTCTGGCACTGCGACTGCACCTGGGGGAGAGGCTGGGAGTATGAGATGTTCTGCGCATGTCTGCTTCCATTGGGCCCCTCCCCAGCATGCCCTCTGACAGATACATGGACAGTGGGTTTAACTGCCACTGTGTCCGTGGGCTTAGTCACTTTTGCCTGCTGTCCAGCAGAGCCCCTTTCTTTACTGTTCGGCACTATTGGGTTTTTTGGGGGCTCCCACGTGGCTGCTGTGGCATTTGCTGCAGGAGGGTTCCCAGAGCAGCTTCCACTCCGCCTTCCTGGACTGTCCTGTTCCAGCATGGCCAGCGCCAGCATTTCCGCCTGTTCGGATGTGAACGTGAATGATCCAAAGGAGCCAGATGACGCACTTATGGTGTGGCCCTGGGGCAGCATGGATGCCACAGAGAACCCCCTGCCTCCCCCGGCCCCAGAAGACATGGGGGAATCGGTCTGTCTGCTAGACGTCATTGGGTGCTCTATAGTTTGATCGTCGAGGTTAGTGTACACCTGCTGAGATGAGGCAAAATCCTTTCTCGGGGGAATGCCAGAAGTCGCTGCCACCAAGACGTCTTTCTCTAACTGAGCCTCCAATGCTCTTCGAGGAGGCTGGGGCGGTTTGAGTTCAGGAGGACAGGGCGACGGGTGGGGAGTATTCACATCAGTCGGTTGAGTTGCAGCTCTACTTGTAGCAACCCTTTTCCTAAACTCTGAGCTTGTTGAAGAGGCTGTAACAGCGCCGTGGGCTGCGGTAAAAGTCACTGCAGGTGATGATGGCGCCACAGTTGTGGACATTGGTGGGAAAGTGGGGGGCCGTGACTGGGGTTTACTACATGGCGGAGGATCTTGGGAATTGGACACGTGGTGGTCACGGCATACTGAAGATGGTTGGGTTGCCCGATTTAAAGATGATGGTGCGGTTGATGGGAGACTGCTGGTGCAGACTGGAGTCAGGCATGCCGCAGAAACAGTGCTGGGAACATATGCAGTCTCGGTGGCCTCTTCAGAAGCAACCAGAGATTTGCTCTGTTTAGAAATGGAAGTGGTGGCAGCTGACTTACTTTGTGTTGTGCCAGTTGCTGAACTGTTGGTCGGCTGTTTAACCTCTGGAGCCGTGTTGTTGCCAGAAACTATTGCTGGTTTATTCTCAATGACCACAGCTGCACTAACGGTTGGCTTGACCGGTGTGGTACTGACAGTTGTCACTGCAGTTGCCACACCGCCAGGGTTACCGAGTACAACATCGGTCTGAGTTGCAGCGACAGAGCTTTTGCTCGGTGGATGGGATTGTCTAGATGAAACAGACGAGTCACTGGATGAACTACACACAATCGTTATCTGACTGTTTTGTGTTGAGGAGATATTCGCCACGGCTTCACTCCCATCTGCCATTGTGACAGCTTTGGTACAAGTGGGGCTTATGTCGATGACTTTTACAGGTGAAGACTGTGATGCTTCAGATACTGAAACTTGAACTGTCTGACCGTCTCCGGCAGCGACCACTGGCCTGGCAGCAACAGCGACAACAAGTGGCGCCTCTCTGGGCTCTTTTTTGGCGGCTGGTTTAGTCCTTTTTGCAGTTGTCCTCTTTGTATTCAAAGTTGTGCAAAGCCTATTGGCTCTACTCTTGGATGCATTGCCCACCCGTCTTGATTTGACTGGGTTAAATGAAGGGGCCTGTAGCTGCCGGGCAGGCAGAGCTAGTGCAGCTTTGGGGATGGATGCTGGAGCAGGAGGCTGCTTCTGCTGGACTACTGATAATGGAGCGGCTGGAAGCTGACCATTGTTCTGGCTTGAAAGGGTGAGTGCAAGGCCCCGAGAGATGCTCTGATTGAGACTACTGAGTGCACCTAAACTGTTGAGGGCCACATTGGTAGTTGGTTCCTCAGTGGTGGTGGGCTGGACCAGCTGGAGTGTACTCTGGCCAGTATGGGAGGTGGTTTTGTCAGAGGTCTTCATGGGCTGCAAAGCAAACACCTGGCCATTCACAGTGATAGTCTGTGGTGTTGGAGGAACTGGTGCGGGAGAGGAAACCTGTGTCACCTGAAGGGGATGGTTCATGTGAGGCTGAACGGGGCGTGGGAGAATGTGCACCAGTTGCTTTCCCCCAACACTCTGTAAGGAAGTAGCAGATGTTGAACAACAGGTCGTGGATATCTGAGAGGACGCAACGGGTACTGCGGTGGGCGCAGCAGCAGGCACCAGGCCAAGCTGAGAATTCTGAGGGGCAGGTGCAACCTGATTGGGTGCCTGGATGATTACAATATGCTGACACGGTGGCTGGTTTGTTATTTCCTCCCTTACAACTGACTGGTTTGGGCAAGAACTGGCCTGCTGCAAAATGACCACACTGGGGTTGTTGGTGTTCTGTTGGGCTGTAGCACCTGAGCCCATCCCGCCAGTGGGGTTGACCTGCAGCACTTGCATGGTCTGAAGGAGGGGCAGCACAGTGGCCTGTGGCTGGGGCACCTGGGCTGGCTGTGGGTGGGGCTGAGGTATGAGGGCGCTTGTATGATGGGGAACCAATGGCGCTGGTTTAAGCGCAGCAGACTGGGGCTGTGGCGGCACGACGGTAGAGTGGGCTGCTATACCGGGCTGCGTTAACATGGCGGCCTGAGAGAGAACAGCACACTGTGTTTGGGGGACTAAAAAAGGCTGAGGCTTTACGTGGTTCAAGACTGCTGGCTGTAGCTGGGTGGGTCTCTGAAAGGGCTGTGCTTGTCCTGTGAGGGGTGCTTGCTGTGCAGGCACATGGGATTGCATCTGTATTTGAATGGGCTGAACAGAGGTCATCTGCTGGACAGTCTGGGCGGTGTTGATGACCTCTGGGGTGGCGAGACTCTGGCAGACGGGCTGCACTGTGTTTCCCGCCATCTGAAGAGTGGTCCAGGTTGTCTGTGTGCTGCCTGCCGCCCCAGCCCTAAGAAGGGCTTGGCTGCTGTGGATGGCAGTGTAACTTACAGTCCTCATAGCACTGTCCGGTGCGGGCCAAGAGCAAACCTCCGAGGTTGCTGCTCCAGATGTGGCTATAGCCTGGGAATGTGTGGCTGCATTTGTCACCAGCTGCGCAGGGCTTTCAGTGATGAGCTGTGACGCTGAAGTGGCTGTTATGGTGTGGATCGGGACTGGGGCGGCAGGCTGCGGTTGTTGGGGAAGGGATGTGGTGGCTGCTGGGATCTGCAGGGTGATGTAAGACACAGAGGGTGGCAGACTTGGAGCTGCAGTCGGTGACTCAACGCTGCACTGCTCTATCATTCTCAGGCCTGTTGTAGACTGGTTGGGTGTGACAGTCGACCCGGGGAGAAGAGATGGGGTGGAAGAAGAGGTATTAACTTGCAACAGGGCTCCATTAACTCTCAACCTGGCACTGACATCAGAAGGTGGCTGAAGAATTAATGTTTCAGAAGGCTGTTTTGCCGGGCTAGTCTCCTTCCCTGCGGGGCTCTTTACAACGCCATTGGAGCAGACATCAATTCCTTTTGGGAGTTGGTGATTGGGGGTGACCTTTGCCACCTTGGTGCAACGCTGTTGTCCCCTCCAGTGAATTGTGGGGTCTTCTAAAATGTTAATATCATGGGCTTTAAGGAGCTCGAAGTACTGAGCACTCTCCCTCCTCAGCTCCTCCATCTGACACCGCAGCCGACGTATCTCCTCAGCTGCACACAGACCAAGCACACACATTATCAACCAAGTATGCACATGTTAATAATTCTAAATGCAGACACTCTATAGTTAGCAAATCATTGAATTATTAAACTTCACCTTGCACTTTATCTCCTCCTTCCAGAAGAAATGTATCATTTTGTTTTTTCAGTTCAGTGATGTAACGAAAGGCTTGATCCAAGATCATGTTCTTACTCTATAGATGATGGGATATCAAAATATCACACAGTAAACTGGAAGCAATTATTTGACAACATTTCATTGAAAAACAGGAATGCCAGATTGACTCTTACCTGTTTAAGTGCCGTTGAACAAGGTAGAAGATTTCCAATGCGGTTAATCCCAGCATTAATCTTCTCTTTTCTGTGCCTCTCAACTATATAGAGAAAAGACTACACTTTAATGTCCAGTTAAACGTATAGTCACCACCATCCACCAACAAGCCACGTTTGAATAGAAGCATAACAGGAGACATTATTTCACCTGCATTGTGAGATTCTTTGTTTTTCTTCTTTCTGCAAAACAAAAACATTATTATTCCAATAATGAAAATATGTTACTCGCATGATATTTTGGATGCCACAGTGATGCACAGCAGACATATCAAACATCCTTACTTGGGTTTACGACCAGGTGTCTGAGTTTCGGTCATCTCTGGCATTCTGTCTTCACAGTTGCATTTATGATAAGATACCAGTCAACACATTTAGCAGTTGGACCTTAAATCCCTCCCGTGACCGTCCTGCAGTGATCACATAAAACATCCGGTCTATAAATTTTAAACAAGTATCATGACACCAGACTGCATCGTCATTGTTAAATACATTGCTAAACCGCACTGAGCTTCTCACGTTATTACAACTAGATGCTTACAAGCTGTTGTTGATTAAACTAGCTTTACAGCTAACCTGGACTAATTGACCTGCTATTACAGCATTGTTACAGCATGTTTAACGAATTGCATACAGTTGTGGGATCTGGTTTTTGTTGTTGACAACAAGCGGCATTTGTATTAATATTCCGTCATGCAACGTTAACCAGCAAGACAGTAGCAACCTGTACAATGATCTATTAAGCTATCTTTCTGTTAGCTAACTAGCTAATAGCTAGCTTACTATACCGTTGCCGACGTAATTATAAAGGAAAATTACTGGCGTATTTCTTCACGTCCGTGCTGATAAAAGGCTGCTAATTGGCGGTAGTTTCCACTAACCTCAGGCGTCGGCATTTTAGAGACTGTCTGTCGCTTAGCGTATTTTGGGATTGAGGGCTAACTGTTGGCTAGCAAGCATTAAACTCAACTCATTTCCCAAAACAATCTGGCGACACCTAACCCAGTGCAGATAGGGGAGGGCCCTTGAGTAAGCTGACAGCCAATAGCATTCGAGATATGGGAGTTTTCTGCCAATCATGACGGGCATACAGGGATAAATTTCTAATGCATTCTTCTATGCAGTATGTTTTTTAATAATCGTAACTATGTGCATTTACATCAGAAGTAAGAATACAGACAATGAGAATGAGACAATTGGTAAAACATTTACTGCAAATAGTAATTCCTTTATTTAGACGTTAAAAAGTCTTACAATATAGAGCTCCAGAAAAGATAAAATTCTTCAAAAAAAGGAAAAAAACATGCTTAACGTTATACTACAGTGGAGAGGACACAACTCTCCTTGCATGCAGAGGGGACAGAGCTTCCTCTGGGTTAAATACTTTCCTTAGGGACAATACCAATATTGCCAAACTATCAGAAAGGGCTGTGTGTTGTGTGGGAACAGAAGCAGTTTGAGGCCGGTAGCTATCGAGGACAAATTCTGGAAAGTGCCAAAACATGTTTATGGTAAGATGTCTCAAAACCGTTCTTTAGAGATAGCCTCAGAAACCTTTATTATACTACTGAAAGCAATGCCCAAATCATATCCCAAATGGTCAAATTCAAAAATCAAAACTATGCGAGTGCCCTTCTCAGAAGCCCCTTGAATGCAATATTAAGTTTGTTTCTTTCTAGAATTATTTCAGTCTTAGTTAACCCAGGAGAACCTCTGAACCCAGTTAACCCAGGAGAACCTCTGAACCGCTTGCCGTTTTAATGTAAAAAATAGGAATTACAGTTGATGGGAAATTAAATCAACAGGCTTGAAAATGAAACTATGAGTGGTGACCGTGCCTATCCACCACCTTCAGCCTTCTTTACACCCGAACTGGGGGGATACTTTTCTGCGTTCCCCCTCTGGTCATAACGTTGAAAAGCTGGTCAGACTAATTTCCCATAATTCCCATGGTTTAGGTGGTGAGGGGATCGAGTTGTCACCGTCCCACCTAACAACTCAAAGCATCCCTCCAAGCTGACCAGCTGGTACTTTTGTGTGTGTCGGTGATGGTCTTTCAAACACTTTCACAGGTTCTAACCAACTGTTTTATTTCTGCTCAACAGTAAAGATATGTCCCAATTAGCTTTTATAACCGCATGAAAATACAACTCAAAACACAAACAGTATGATTTGCAAAACACCACATCCTCCCCTTGCACCAACGCTAAAGTTGGCCACCATGTCAATCGGAGCACTTTTGAATTTTGAACTTTTTGCCGTTTTCCAATTATCTGTACGAGGACACAAAGCAATAAAATATGCAAAAATCAGAGGGGACCCCCTGCAAAATAAATGCAGCATTTTTTGTACTTTAAATTTGTTTCTCTCTTTTTGCGTCCTTTGAAGAAAGTGTTGAATTGTGTCGACCCTTGGGGCGTTTGTCACAGTTCTGTTTCTGTGGAGGCTGGCACAGCTGTGCTCTTTCCAAACACCGTGCCCCTACTCTGCCTTCTGAAGCTCTCCGCTGGGCGGTGCACATGGGCTGCGCAGGCTCTTCTGCAACACATGGGCATCTGCGGGCTCTATCCTCTTGTAGTAATTCTTTTTTGTTTCAATGATCTCAAAGCCAAACTTCTGGTAAAAGTGAATGGCTGACTCGTTGCTGATCTGCACGTGACTGTGGGGAGGGATAAGAGATACGTAGTCAGTGGTAGAACAGTTTGAACAATTGCTCAAGAATACAGCCACATGGGCCTCTCATAATACACCTACTACGTTGAGTTACTCACAGGTAAATATTGTCAAAAGTGCCATCCTTCTCACAGATGTTTAGCACATGATTCAGCATCTTTGTACCTGGAGACACAAAATCCACAAACGCAAAGTTTATGAAAGAAAACGTAAGGGCCCCAAGGTGTACTCCAAAGTCTTCTAGAAGTTCAGAGCTCCTTACCAATTCCAAGTCTACGGTAGGGTGCTAAACAGCCCAGCGTCATGATGTACAGTCTCTTCTGGTTCTGAGAGTGGTCCACTCTGCAGCACACAGCACCCACTGCAATGTCATTGAAGTATGCTGCAAGAAAAAGAGGACTAAAACGTCACAGATAAACATAGAATCTTTAGTTCCTTCCCAGGGAAGAACTGATCATTTCTAGACTGCAGAGAATGGGGGAAATTAAAGGCAGCACAATTCGATTAGGTCCCGAATGAACTGTGTCTGTAGAGTTCTTGGTCTACTCGATGTTTGGAAACAAGCAGAAGAATGGTTTTCATTCATGTAGTCGTTTCATCTTCTACATCTTTTTGTATATCTCACCGTTATCAGAAATACATTACCTTCATGCTTTAAAAAAATGTTTTTATGTTATTTGAGAGTACGTTGCACGAGTGGTGTTCCTCTTACCTAGCTTTGCAAGCTCTCCAACTTCCAGGACATCTTTGTAAAACTTGTCATTGTAGCTGACAGGGAAGATGACCTGGTTCAGGCGTTTCAACTGCTTTATGTTGTGGGGCGTAACATCCCCCAGCTCGATCCGGCTACTGGAACAACAGCAAAATGGTCAAATGGCTGCAAAAAGTACACTTTGAGTTTAATACTGGTCTGCGTTATCATTTTTATCTAAAAACAAAATTCATTAATTGCTGTCAAAATGAATATCATACATGAGTTGATTAATCCATTACTTTATTCAATCAACAGAAAATTTGGCAATTTAGAGGACTTTTTACTTCTAAACATTGTTGGGATCATCATAAAGCTGCAGCCCCTATGTCAAACAAATCCTCCAATGTTAATTGTCAAAAAGGACCAAACCACATTTGATGGGAGCAGATCAACTGTCATAATTAACGCACAAAATCGACAGCAATACATTTCAAATTAAAACAAATACCTAAAACCAACCACGTTTCGAAGCTCTTACAAAATGAATAAGGCACCTGCTAAACTCAAGTGACAAGATAATCTGCGGATGTGTTTCAGTGCTATAGTGGGTGACTCCAGCACAACTCAAGAGTTAGTATGATTGAGGGGTTCACTGTGGTATTTATAGGAGATAACACATCCAAAAACAGCTGTCGGTCACGTGGCGTGTTCATTAAGACATGCTGTCCCAGCATCCCAAAAAAAACATCAAGTCAAGTCTCCCAAAACTGAAATTATTAAAAAAGCCTCCAACGTTAATAGCTCACGCTGTGTGACAACCACATCCGTAGCCCCAAATCTGGTACAACGTTGAGAATCGGTGCTGGTGTGCTGCTTTGACATGAAGGATTACACGGAGTAAGCTGGAACAGACTCAGAAGTGGATGTCGGGTGTAATGTTATCGCGGTATCTGACAGAGGGGGTGACCGACATAACCTTAATGTGCCGGCGAATTGTTTAGTAACTTTCTTCACTGATTTGGCCAACATACCAAAGGAAGTTCAGTTGAGCCGTTGTCGAAGCGAATTATCGGACATCCAGGGTCTGCATGTGTAACGTTAGCTTAACTTAGCAAAGTGGGTTTTCTGACTCAGCTTCCCAGTAGCAGCTAGCTAAGCTAGCTAGCAAGCTAGTTTTGAGGGACCGCTACTCGGACGAATCGACAAACAGTCAACAAGTATAAACACGACGGAAGAGTTTCGGTAACAGTGCTGTCCGTTGTATATACATATTTGTCATAGATGTAAATGAAAGTAGCTTAGCAAGCTAACTAGCCCCTCCGTCTCCTCCCCGCCTCCCCTTGTAAAAAAAAAAACGGACGTGAAAACTTTACTCGTGCTAAGCTACTTATCCATGACTCAAAAGCTTACACTCACCCTTTCATTGTAAAAAGATAATATCCCTTATTTTCGATGAGGCTGAACTTAAGAGTATTTTGGGGTATAACGGAGGAATTTGGACAGAGTTGGGGTCGGGGATGCCTCCCGTTTTGCCCTCCACATGTAGCTAGTTGCGGTGGTTACTGTTAGCTTAGCCACCGCACTCCTTCCACGACTGTGTGGAGCTTGTCAACCCTGACCCCCGCATGCGCACAAACGTTGCTGCATGTTGGCTTGGGAGTTACCTTTCCCTGAGTTTGGTTTCTCAGGATGTCCACTGTTATTAAACTAAACCACAGCCATTTGTAACGGCACCTCCATTATGGCTCAAACGTCACCGTAAAGATTTTCAGCACCAGTCTTAAGGCGTATGGTGTACAAATATAGTGTGTATACTTAAACAATAAAAAAGGTAAAGATGAACAGGAAGGCTGTCGCAAGGACTAATAATACTTTTTCGTAGTATGCATTTGAAATATCTTTTCTGGATTGGGACCAGGTATACTACGTAGCTCAAACAAACGATGGCTTCATAAATATTTTGATTTAGCTTTAAAAAAGTGAAAATTGCATTTGAGCTTATACACGCTCATAAACGCGTTACGGCAGTTGGCGGAGCAGATCCAAAATGGCGGATCCAAAATGGCGGCAGTTGCAGGGGCACCAGCAGTAAAACCGAGCAGCGACTGAATGAAGTCAGCTGACCTGCTGTCACGCACCGCAGCACCCGTCGTTTCTCTCCGGAGCCAAAGACAGTAAACCACCTCTTCACAACCAGACGGTAACTATTATATTGTAATTTTCCAGATAGTTGAGTAAATCATAGACCTACATTGGCTTTGTTGTGAGTTGTTATTGATTTTATTTTTTTCGGTACACGGTTGCGACGAAACGTAGGCCGAGAGACCATTATTGCCATCGTTTTCACAACACAGAATCCAATCCCGTGTGGCGATGCGGTTTGAAGACCAAATGGGATTGATTTTTAAGTCACCGATATATTTAATCATAAAGTAACCGCCGTATTTTAGACACTCCTCGATGTGTCAGTAAAGCTAGCAAGTCAAGGCTACAGTTTCGAGGAAAGCTGTCAGGCCGAATATTCTGCGATGCCATTAAATGTTACAATCGATTTGATGATCTTCTTTAGCTGGTTTTGATGAGATTAGCAACATGCATTCAAGTCATTTGCAATTAGCATCAGTTTGTCTGGGTGCTGTATGCGTCGTCATGTGACATGTTGATGTTACATTTCTGAGCCTATTTTGCTCACCCATACATTCCTTTAACATTGTTGTTAACTTGCCTTTTTATCACACAATATATAATGATGAAATGACCTTTTTAATAGAACACTTGAAGACCATTCCCACCTCTCTTATCCAGCCCAAATTACCCAACAAACGCATTTACCCATGAATATATTTATATGACCATTTTTAATGGAGGATTGCAGTGGGGGGATTTCTCCTGTGTGTTCACACACACACACACACACACACACACACACACACACACACACACACACACACACACACACACACACACACAATCATAATTTGCACTTCCCAGTTTTGCACCATGCTAGTTTTCCACTTCCTCAAAGACCAGACCAGCTAGTCATGTGCCAAGATCATATGATGGGCCATATCTGTCCTAAGGGTTATTACAAGAGGATGTGATGTCTCAAGGTTTACATTCAAATCCAGTTACATTTTTAGTATTTAAACAAATCAAGCAAGTAGGGAGATGTGTGATACAATGTGACTGAATAAGGAGAACCATAGACATTATCTTGCCGCTGCGTTCTGCTCATTGGAATCATTATTTTATGTATTGCTGTTTTCAATTGCTTAAGTACTGATGCTGGGAACTGTGTGCTTTTTAGATTAAAAACATGGAATTACCAAATATCAGAAAAAGGTTTTTGTCTTAATAAAAATGATGTGGTAGAGGAGATAAAGTGAAACCTTTTTAGGTGTCATTCCTGTAATTCCCACAACCGACCAGCTGGTGGGGCTACTAAATTCCTGCACAGATGGGTTAAGCAGCTGAGTGTAAACAGGAAGATCTCTGCATCAGTGGGAAGGACAAGGAAAGGGCATGGATGGAGTACTGTTTGTAGATAGAGAACAAAAACTTGAAGCAGTGTGAGACTGGATCTGGTGTTTGCGTGTGCGTGCGTGTGTGTGCTACTTACAGTATATTGCGGATCAGAGCATCTGCAGCCAGCTCTGTGTGAGGCTGAGGGGTGTCACGACTGAAGACAGCTTGTGTTTGCACAACTCCTCCATATCGATGCGCTTACACAGGATTGTATATAGCCGACATTTGATGTGAAAAGGAAAAGGGAATAAGAGGAGACTTAAGAGTTTTACAAAAAGATGAATTTTGTCAGTCAAGGAACATGCTTCTCTGTGGGGTTTCCCTCTGGTGTTGGCCTCACACGTCATACTGACTGCTGCACCTGAAGCGTGTGCAGCCAAGCAGCAGAGGGAGGCCTATATCAGGCACCGTGATGCTGAGTCGTGATCAGTGATGCTGCTGTATTTTACTGGCAGTTTCCATGGTAACAGTAGGAGGTCCCCTTACCAAGGTAGTGGCACAGTGCCACACCGATTTTCATCTCTGAATTTTGGGATTATTTTCTAAAATATATCTAATTTCTAAAGTTTTTTTCTATGAGTAAAGTGTGAATCTTTAGTCTGGAGCCATTTAGAATTTTCAACGTTGCGCTTTACGTTTACATGATAAATGTACTCACAAAATGTTCTGTGTTTTAAGTTGGCAAACGGTGTACAAACGGAGGCACCCTGCTGCATACATTGATGAACTTGTATAACCAGGTATATATTTATCTCTGTGTATTGAGCTGGATCAATTGATAAACTGACTAGGTCCAAAGCACACTGTGGTCTCAAATGAGATAAACTGTAAAAGCATTAATCAAAGAGCTCTTACTCTTGCAGTTGCTTCGAGTCTGCCAAAAAAATGTATCAACTATTAAAATGTAGAGACGGAGGTCATATTGTTGTAAGTGACCGCTGCCCAGGAGAGGATATCCCCTCCTGCAAACTTTAATCTGACTTTTTTCCTTTTCAGTTCTAGCTTGCCTGCAGTCTTTCTCACATTCAGTCCTCTCCTCCCTGCTCTGCTTTCAGTCATCCTAATCAAAAGGAGAAGATGGATATGTCCAAGCTTCCCAAGATCAGGGATGAGGATAGGGAGAGCGAGTTTGGATTCGTTCATGGAGTCTCCGGACCCGGTATGGCCACCAAACAGTCATAAACACTGTCTTCATTATCATCGAACCTGAAACCCGATGCAGGCTGCATGCTCATCGTTAAAACAATGTTTTAGTTGCAACAGTAGATGGAAGTGGACAGACTTGTCCGCTGCTCTTAGATGGCTTAACCTCTCCCCAGCAGGATTGTTTACACTCCTTTTTGTTTTCCTAGTGGTGACAGCTACGGCCATGGCGGGAGCAGCCATGTATGAGCTTGTCCGTGTGGGCCACAGTGAGCTGGTGGGAGAGATTATCAGGCTGGAGGGCGACATGGCCACCATCCAGGTCTACGAGGAGACATGTATCCTTCTCACCACGTCTCAGAGGCCAAAAAAGAAAGTTCAAAAAAGTTATATTCTGAAATGATAAGATATTCTGTATTGGATTTGAGAAGATATCCGAAACAAAAATGTAATAGAACAAGGAAATCAAACAATCCTTGTATGTAATTAGGCAGATGTCCCACTACTAAATGTTGTCAAAGTGTATTGTAGAAGTCCAAACATTTTTCCTGAGCTTTGCATCCAGCCGGTGTGTCTGTCGGCGATCCTGTGCTGCGGACCGGTAAACCCCTCTCTGTGGAGCTGGGTCCAGGAATCATGGGCTCCATCTTTGATGGTATCCAGCGACCGCTGAAGGACATCAATGACATCACACAAAGCATCTACATCCCCAGAGGCGTAAACATCGGAGCCTTGAACCGAGACCTCAAGTGGGAGTTTGTTCCTGGCAAAAGCCTGCGGGTGAGCAGCGGCGCAGCTCCAAACCTTTTCAGCGTGGCGCGTTCGAATCACCTCAGTTACGCAGCTTTCCTATTTTTCTTCTTCTTTTTTTCAATCACCGTTAGGTTGGCAGTCACATCACAGGCGGCGACATCTACGGCATGGTGCACGAGAACTCCCTCATCAAGCACAAGATCATGCTGCCTCCCAGAAACCGAGGCACCGTGACCTACGTGGCTCCGCCCGGAAACTACGACGTCTCCGTGAGTTCACCGCCGCTCCAGCTCCCAGGTGTCCTTTTCGTTTGCCTGTTGGATGTCGCCTGGTGCTGATGGTGTGTGCGCGTCTCTGTGTCAGGACGTGGTGATGGAGCTGGAGTTTGAGGGGGTGAAGGAGAAGTTCACCATGGTGCAGGTGTGGCCTGTCAGACAAGTGCGACCCGTCACAGAGAAGCTGCCCGCCAATCACCCGCTGCTGACCGGACAGAGAGTGCTGGACGCCCTTTTCCCGTGGGTCTCCCATTCTCGCTTTACACTCATGACATGTAAAAAAAAAAAAAACGATCCCGTACTCACCTCTGCTCTCCTCTCTGTGAGAAGATGTGTGCAGGGGGGTACCACAGCGATCCCAGGAGCCTTTGGCTGTGGAAAGACCGTCATCTCACAGTCCCTGTCCAAGTACTCCAACAGTGATGTCATCGTCTACGTGGGCTGTGGCGAGCGCGGTAACGAGATGTCAGAAGTACTGCGGGACTTCCCCGAGGTGGGCGACGACAGCGGCGGCGTTGTGCTCCCAACTCGATTGGCGTTCAATGTGACTGACGGTGTGCTCTGACCCAACAGCTGACCATGGAGGTGGACGGGAAGACGGAGAGCATCATGAAGAGAACGGCGCTGGTGGCCAACACCTCCAACATGCCCGTAGCAGCCAGAGAGGCCTCCATCTACACCGGTGAATATACTCGTTGATCGAGTCTCATTCACTGTAGATTAACACACACACAAGTAGTGCATACTAACTGTGTTTGTTTCGGCAGGAATCACACTTTCTGAGTACTTCAGAGACATGGGATACCACGTGAGCATGATGGCCGACTCCACCTCCCGTTGGGCCGAGGCTCTCAGGGAGATTTCTGGCCGTCTGGCTGAGATGCCTGCAGGTAAGGTTGGAGTCTCCTGGAGAGTTATTACAATAAGGGCTTAAGGCAGGTGATTTGGGCTCTTGTATTTTTTTTTTACAGTAGGTAGATTCCAAATACTGTTCTTTGATGGAGTATTTTGGGGGGTTTTACACTGTTTGTCCGACAAAAAAAATCTCAATGTGGCCTATTGCAACTTTTAAACTCTAGGAGGCAGGATGTCAAAATGTAATTTTCCCTGAACTGAGATCCCAGATCCTTGAAGAATTATGATCATATTCATTATTCCCCCCAATATCGCAGATAATATAAACGCAATCTCTCAAAACAATAACAACTCAATATTTTTCCATATTATTTTCATTTTAAGATGTCATATAGGACTTTAGGATATTTTACTCACATTTTCCTTTTTTTTTGCAATTTATAAAAATTGGTATAAACTATTCGTAAAGAAAAGGGTTAATAAATAGGGTTAATAAATTAAATAAATTATGCTCTGGCCCCTTACTGTTCTCATTTCCTGTATCTGCCCACAGACAGCGGTTATCCTGCCTACCTGGGCGCCCGTCTCGCCTCCTTCTATGAGCGTGCTGGGAGGGTGAAGTGCCTGGGCAACCCTGAGCGGGAGGGCAGCGTCAGTATCGTGGGAGCGTGAGTATAGCTTTATCCCGCTAGAGAAAGACGTCCCTCTGCACATCTAGTACCAACGGTAACGCAACTGTTTGTTCCTTTCTCAGTGTATCGCCTCCTGGTGGTGACTTCTCTGACCCCGTCACTTCGGCCACCCTGGGTATCGTGCAGGTGAATTGAGGTTCTAATCCTAGCTTTGTTGATTCGAAGGGGCTCCGCTCTTCTCACTGAATGATGTCATTTCTCCTCGCAGGTGTTCTGGGGTCTGGATAAGAAGCTGGCTCAGAGGAAGCACTTTCCCTCGGTCAACTGGCTGATCAGCTACAGCAAATACACCCGCGCTTTGGATGAGTACTACGACAAGCACTTCCCTGAGTTTGTGCCCCTGCGTACCAAGGCCAAGGAGATCCTGCAGGAGGAAGAGGACCTGGCTGAGATTGTGCAGCTTGTCGGAAAGGTATTTCAGCGTTCAGTTGGCGGCAGGGGTTTAATCTTTTGGTTTAACTTATTTATTTTTTTCCCCTTCCCTTCCAGCGTAGTACAAAAAAAAGAAATTTCCAGTTGTGCTTTACCTGCTTTCTATAATCTAAATGGTGTTTTTATCAGGCATCACTGGCAGAAACGGATAAAATCACCTTGGAGGTGGCCAAACTGATCAAAGACGACTTCCTGCAGCAGAACGGTTACACACCGTACGACAGGTAGCATCACACCCGACGCGGCATGCGCTCCCTCAGCCTTAGTCCGGCTCTCACCAGAGTTCAAATAGCTATTGGATCCCCTCGCGAGAAAGGAACCTCTCACTGATTTGTGTCCGTGTCCTCAGGTTCTGTCCCTTCTATAAGACAGTGGGCATCCTCTCCAACATGATCTCCTTCTACGACATGGCACGGCACGCAGTGGAGACCACAGCGCAGAGCGACAACAAGATCACCTGGGCCATGATCAAGGAGCACATGGGAGAAATCCTCTACAGGATCAGCTCAATGAAATTTAAGGTGCGTGTGTGTACACGCCTGCAAAATGTTGTATTTTTCCTGGAAATTATGTGTTCAGTGGTTCTCATTTAAGCGGTATTTTTCTTCATGTTCTATAATATCCTGAGTATTATTATGCCGCGGGGTTATCCCCTGTGATTTATTTTGTGTAAACCGCGGAACACTTTTCTGTTCGCGTTGTGAGACTGTCTCTTCGTTGGTGCAGGACCCGGTGAAGGAGGGCGAGGTAAAGATCAAGGCGGAGTACGCTCAGCTGGTGGAGGACATGCAGAACGCCTTCCGCACGTTGGAAGAATAGGCGGCCGCCTCTCGCGACCATTCCAGATTTCCTCTCCGGACCCTCCACTGCAAAATCACCGCCCTGTATCCCCGAAACCTGCTGACACCCTGTGCTCCTTTTGTGTGTGTGTGTGTGTGTGTGATTGTGTAAGCGGGTGTGTCAGTGTGTGTGTGAGCGCGTGTAAATCCACGTGGAGGGAAAAGAGTCAGATGTACTGTATTCATTATTTTTCGTTGCCTCATACAGGCGCACTCCGGATCCTTTGCATGATCGTTGATCGTGTGTGCATGTGATGATTTAATGTGTGTACGAATGAACCCCCTTTCTTCCTTTCTCTGTTTACATAATTATTTTGTCTATTTCTGTGTTGCTCTTCTTGACGATTGTTCGGTTGATGTATTGTGATTCACAGGCCACCTGTACAGAAGAGTATTGAATATAAATCCAATGAGACGAGCCTATTTATTGCCGGCGTTTTGACGTGAAGGCTTTGCGGTTTTCTTTTGTTTTTTTGAGGTTGTGTTTCACGCTGTGCAGTGTTGTGTACTTTGAGAGTGTAAACTCGATGCGTTCATGTGTACTCCGGAAGAATTAAAACATGAGTCAAAATACCAACGTTTTGTGTTTGCCTGTGTGATCTGATCGTTCCTAATGATGCTGTTGGAGCAGCTGAACTGGTCTCTCTGCATGTCGCTCATTCTCCAGCTCCGTGCCCTTTATACGCTTTGTTTCAACCAGTAGAGTTACTCATAGACTGTTTTACATTTAAACATCAAATTAAACAATGTTTGAGTGTTTTACAACTTAAATATAATGAAGCATACTCTGGTAGTTGTTTCACCTGGGTACTGATATGTATGTATAAAAGTACTTGTATTGGAATCCACACCTGAATGAATTAACGTAGATGCCATTTTGCGGCCATTAACTTGTTACGTGAGGACCAATGAGCGTCACGGATCAGATGACAACTCCCATTAAGTTTGTTCCCCTGAGCAGCTGGGATGCACATGCCACCGGGTGCACGAGCACAGCGCAGCAGAAGTGATCCAATACGGGCAGATCCTTGACTTTTTGTTTTTCTGTACTCTGTCGCACGTTGGGGGAACCTGGGTCCAGTCCGTGCCGGGTGAGTGACTAACCGCAGCGGTTCCGGCTCGGGTCGGTAACCCGCGTGTGGAGACGTGTTGGAGGTTCAGTGTGCTCGTGGCGCTGTGCGTAAAAGTATTTCTACTAGTAGAGCTGAGCGCCCGCTTTTATCATGTGGCTTTGGGAAGACATCTCGTAGATCGCTGTGATCGCTCCAATCAGCAGACGCAATCTGACACACACACACACACACACACACACACACACACACACACACACACACACACAGTTAAGCGTCTCATGCAGGAGGAGGTTTATTTAGATGTGTTTCAGTATTTTTAACGGAGACATGAACGCATTCTTAATGTTTTCCCCACGGGTTATATGTGCAAGGGTTTCTATTCTTTCACATGACTTTACTTGTTCCTCCTAGTCAAACCAGTTCTGTTGCGGTGCGTATGGCCCAATCCCAGTCTGCACCCAGCCTGCACCTTTACGCACTCACGGGCTTTGTTGCGCGCTCCCGCTCACTCCGTGAGAGTTTAGGTTTGTCCCACTGTCAAACCTTTTGAGCGTTTGGCTCCCTGGAGGTCATTTTGGGCTCCGAGTGGACCCTCTGGGGTAAGTCCGCGTTAGATGCTGATTTCCAGGAGCGCGATAAGTGGCAGGTTGCTTTTCTCAGAACAGCACAAGCCGATCTCTGTTGGGTGTAGCGACACGGACCCGCCTCCTCATGCAAATCCATGTAAACCAGTATCTTTACTGCCGTAAATGTTTGTTTTTCCAACTTTTTATTGAGAACCTGGAACAATACAGCGACTTGTAGCGCGCGGCCTAAACAAAGTGTGTGTCTTTTAGAAATGAACACAATGGGATTCTGTATTTGCTCATAAACCCTGAAATTGGTCGTTTGGGCAATTTATTAATTTTTTTCCTGGGAAAAAAGGAATCTGCCGCCGACCACGAGGCATTGCGAAGTGACGTTACATACGTGGTAATCGGTGAAAGCATGGAGGCGTTTAAAGTCCCTCAATTGGAAATAGCTTTTGACGTTGCCATGTGGCTGAGCGGTGTCCCATTCACCTCCACACCATTTTAAATCCCTACAAGATTCTCACAATCAAACCACCAGCCAGATGAGGCCAGTTCGGGGCTCGTGGTCCAGCATCGGGCCTGTGACCTCCCCAGTGGTGCTGGTTATCCGGGTTGACTTTTACAGCCGAGTCCAAGATCAATACCCTCTTGCATCATGGCACTGCTGCAGAGATTGAAATGTGTCAACCCCAACAGTCTGCAGCACGGTTAAAGCGGTTCCCCAGAAGCTCTTATTTTCTTGTTTGTTTCTTTTGTTCAGGCAGATGGACCAGATGGACAACCCGCCCGGAGCGGTCAGGGATGATAATACAGACGAGTCGACATCCATAGTGGAGTTCAGGTGGAGCTCTGATGAAGAAGAGGTGAAAACGCAACAAAGTCCCAGTTCACACAAAGCTATAAACTCACAGGAGACGTTTGTCTGTATTCCTCTTTTGACCTCTTGTCAGATTTTTTTATTTTTTGTGATGTTCTGTCTCGTCTACTAGAGCTCGGATCCGCAGGCGCAGTGTCTCGCAGCGCCTCAAGTTCCCCTGACCACCTACAAGCAGAGGCTGGACGAATTTAAAAAGTTGTTCAAAGAAATTCCAGAGTCAGAAAGACTCTTAGTGGGTGAGTTGTATGAAGACTGCTTCTGAGTCTAGTGTTGGTCATTGATGAAAATATTTGTTGAAATATTAATGATGGTCTTTACTATTTTGTGAAAGTACAAAGAAGTGTTTGTTTTATAAATTGTTTTCAGTTTTCCAAAGTGGAAATGCTTCTGAAAAAGTACACATACTTACACAGCGGGCAGCTTTTTAACATGGGAGACAACAATTTGAATAAAATGTATGAATGTGTTGTGTTCAACTTGCAGTCACTATTATAACCTTACCCTATTTTTCAAAGTCTTAAGCAAATCTAAATCCGATAAAATGATGATATGAGAATCTGTACCTGTGTTTCATTGACGATGAGGTTCCTTGTTTAGAGACAACTGTTGCATTAAGTGGAAAATGATCGCATAGAACAAACGTGTGACCTCGATCGTCAGGAAACCACAAGGAAATGGTTAAAATACTTTTGACATGAACTTAAATTATTATCTTAACTGAAATATATAAACGCTTCCACGTTGTCTTTACCTAAAGTGACGGTAAATCTCACTGAGTCTCCCACACCACCATCATTACAGTGGCCTGTCTCATAGCCGTGTCACCTCAAGCACATTCATTTGCATGGATAATTTCAGCAGCCTTATGTATTTTTCCACAGATTACCCATGTGCCCTCCAGCGGGACATCCTCCTTCAGGGACGCCTCTACCTCACAGAGAACTGGCTCTGTTTCCATAGCAATGTATTTCGGGGTACGAAGGTAACTGGCGAGTGGAGGAGTTCAGAGGGGAAGGTTGAAAACAAACTTTTTACCCTCAACCTGGAATAAAACCCTTTTTAAACTTGCAACTCTTATTGTTTTGTTGCTGTGTTTGGTTATTCCAAAAAAAGATGACTCTGCAAAAATCTAGAGAAATGCATGTTTTCAGTGACACAAAATATACACCATGAATATCAGATTTTAGTTTTCTGTTCCTCAAAAGCAAATGGCAAGAAATTCTCGTTTGCAATAGTGTGCAACCGATGAACAATCAAGCTCAAGCCGTAAAAATGGCGAGTGAGAGTCACTAATTGAGCCACTTGCGGCAGTCCCCCTCTCTCCTGGGGCGTTGTGGAGTCATTAAAAGATGTCATCACAATTTGACTCCTGGGGTGAAGGAGGATCTAGTTTACAACATTGGTATCCAACGGCTGATTCTTTTATTCTTAATAATTCCGTCTTTTGATCATCATGTGTGCACTAACCACTCAACCTTTCTTCTAGATTATACTGACTCTTACGGACATCGTGACTATGACCAGAGAGAAAACCGCTCGTCTGATTCCCAACGCCATCCAGGTCTGCACGAGCACGGAGAAGGTGTGTTTTTAGAAAAAAAATAGAAGTTTATTTCAAGTTTGCTGAACCGATAATCAACTACTTCTCTCTTTACCTCAGTTCTTCTTTACATCCTTCTCGGCGAGAGAGAAAAGCTACCAGGGTGTTTTCCGCATGTGGCAAAACACGCTGCTGGACAAGGTATGGTCCCCCCCCACAGTGACTGCAGACGCATCAGACTAATGTCCGCTCTCTAACCACTGCTCATGCAGGCTCAACCACAGTCACAATTATGGAAAATACTTTGCTGTTGTACAATAACTTTGCTGCTGAGACTGAATGCCTCTCGGTCACCTGCTTTGTGACTTTGCTCCATTTAAAAAATTTAAAAAAATCAGTCCAGAGTGCGTATGATACGGCCCTGTACAGCAGTACAACCGCCACCAGCTTTTCTTAAATATTGTTAAATGTAAACCCAGTACAGCGCAGTCACCTTTTATTTGTGTCCAGCTCTTCATACTGAAAATGCTACTGCAAAAAGCAAAAAACAGTCCAGTCAGTTGATTTTTAAAAAGGCTTATTTGTTTAAGGCCTCTGGGTCAGATAACTTATGATACTACGATTGGAATTTTAAGCACCACAGGCGGTTTGATTGCATTATAGTCAGGAAACCGGAGACTCTTACGAATGAATTGTATTTCAATTGAATCCCCTAAATAAGCAGAAGTAGAGATTTCATAGTTGTGTTTTTTTTTTTTTTTTTGTTTTTTTTTTCTCAGTGGATGTGTAGCAGCCATATAAGCATTGACATTTACCTGTTTGTCACAGATGTAGTCAAACATCAGTCCAGCCATAGGATATTATTAAATGACGCACGTGTTATAATCTTCTAAGAGGACAAACTATGCCGCCACGACTATTGGCACAGACGGGCTCCATGGCAGCCGACCCGAGGGGGTGCGGGTCCGCCGGGACCTGGAGAACAAACACACCTGTGTGAGAAAACACGCCCCCCCCAACCCCCCTTTTCTAGAGGTCATCGACCTCTCAGGTGAGGCGGCGCTGCCTTTAAGCGCTCGGCTCACTTCACGCTCCGCTCGCGTCCGGGCTGAAACTATCCGCGGAATCCCGGAAAAACAAACGAGTTCACCCGAACCGTCGATAAACCGGACCTCCGACAGGTAGAACACGTTTTTATTTACTTTTTTTTTTTTTTTTAAATATATTTGTTTAAACGGTCGCGGCGGTGGTGTGGGTGACGCGTCGTTACGCCCCTAAGCCGAGGACTTCCTGACTGAATGAGGTCAAGGTTCATGGACCTCCTGAGGGACTGTTGAGACTCCGCTGCGGGGGGGGGACAGACACACATGTCCTCTGGAGAGTAAGTAGAGTCCGCGTTCGCCTTCGGTCTGTTCGGTGGCCGCTGGAACACCGCACGTGCGCCCATATGGCAGAAATACTACCGTGCTTTTGTTTTTCTGTCCATGTTCCGTCGCAGCGCTACACGCACCTTGTTTTTGTTTTCATTCAGTAAAATTTGGGTGCGCTTGTTTTTCAACACCGACTGTGGGGAATAATGTCCCGGAAACAATGAGGCGTGTGTGTGTGTGTCCCTAGTTTTTGATGACCCGCGGAGATCAGACTGTGAACCTTTTTTTCCAGGTTCCTTTTGACTGAGTCGACTTTGAACCAAGCCGGTTGTGCACGTTATAGATGCTATCTGTCAAAGCAGAGTCCTTATTGTGCAACAGGAAGGGATATCTACAGGTGCTGGTTACCAAACAAAAATATGCAGTTTGTTTCCAAATTGTTGTGACCTTCTCCCCCTCCCCTTGGTCCTTTTTTAGCCTCTTACCAGCTTGGAGTTGTGGCAGATGGTCAAACAGCATTATGGGCAAGATCTGGGCATCAGCCCCGAGGAGATGGAGAGCTTAGAGCTGTCGGAATCAAGCATGCAGACCAGGTAATGCACCCCACACCCCAAGTCTAAATGTGCTGTGATTCAACACCGCCTGTCTGTCTGCAGCCTGACGGTGAAGCCCGGTGGTGGTGGTGATGGTCCAGGGAGGCTCGAGCGCACTCCTTCCACCCGCCTGCCAGGGATGGATCATGGACCTTTTGAAACCTCCAACTCTCAGGTGGAGGAGTTGCTTTCCCCTCTCAGCACCTTAAACACGGTATTTACATTTTTTTATTTTTATTTTATTTTGGTCAATGCATTTAGGAAATCGTTCCCCACCTCACCAGTTTAAAAAACTTTTTTTTTTTTTTTTTACCCCAGCCGGACGATCCTCGCGGCACCCCGTCTCAGCGGCGCAGTCCTGCTCCCTCGCTGGACCGCCTCGCCCCAGAGCGGGTTTCCAAACGCTCCTCGCTCTCTCTCGACCTCAACTCCAACGAGAACGACGCGTCCGAGCAGAGCGGTTCGGAAAGCATCGAGGACGGTAAAGGAGAGCCCCCGGCGAACGTTTGCGCTCACCTGCTGTACTTTCGGTTGTTTTTTAAAATATTTTCCCCTTTGCCTCTAAACGTCCCGCTCCCCTCAGTGGAGGAGCGAGTGGGTTTGCAGGTGCCAGGTCGGCTTTATATAAACAGGGTGTTTCACATCAGTGCACAGAAGATGTTTGAGATGCTCTTCACGGACTCCAGCTTCGGCCGCAGGTTCATGAACCTCAGGAAAACGACCAGTGAGTGTCCTTTTTTTCCCCCCCTAATCTGCTGGTTACCATCATAGTCTGTATCAGCCGGCTAAATAAATACAATAAGCCATTCCTCACGCTGATTTATTCACCAGTTGTGTCTCATGTTCCAAATCGTCATTGGTGTTCTCAGACGCCAGCTTTACTCCCTGGCAAAAAGACGCCTCCGGAAACCTGAAGAGGAATCTGACCTACACGGTTACCATCACTAACCCCCTGGTTGGCAAGTCCTCCACAGCTACAGAGAACCAGGTGTGTTTACAGCCGTGTCATTGGTCTGAATCCATTCATCGTCCTGAATGCGTGAATGATCATGTGTTTGTTGAATCATCTCCCAGACGCTATACAAAGAATCCAGGGAGGGTCAATATTACCTGGTGGACTCGGAGGTGTACACTCATGATGTTCCCTATCACGATTACTTCTACATTCAAAATCGGTACTACATCATAAGTAACTCAAAGCGGAAGTGTCGGCTGAGGTAAGTTATTACGATCATCTCATGACCTCTGCTCTTTATTTTAAAGTGACTGCCATTTAAAATGTCTGTGCTGCCAGGGTTTATACCGACGTGAAGTACAACAAGCAGCCATGGGGCCTGGTCAAGTCCTTCATCACCAAAAACTCCTGGAGCGGCGTTGAAGACAATTTCCGACAGCTGGGTAAGTAGAAGGCCGTCTCTGCCCAGCTGGAAGGGGAGTGAGCTTCCCGGTCTACCTTCCTTGGCTTTTGATTTTATTGTTGGAATGCATTAACGATGCATTCCAAGTATTGTTCTTCGAATCTTTATTCTTCAGCTTCTTCTTCTATTTCTTCCGCGGCACCTTTCAACTCCTTCACACTTTCAGCTATTTAAACCGTTCAAATATTAAAATGTTCAGCTCCTTTCTGGCTTGAGGGCTATGACTTTTCAGCTTTCTACCTCTTATGCTTGAATTTATATAAATCAATAATCATTAATATTTTAACATTGTTTTCAAATGGAGTTTGTTTTCAAATCCTCCTTAAACTTCTTCAACTTTCAGATATTTCAGCTCCGCCAATCTTTCAGCTACAGACACCATTTAAACTTTCAAATGTTGACACAGGTCTCAACTATTTTATGAAAAAAACTGCTTGTTGATATCTTTTGTACTTCTTTCATAATCACTGATTATGTTTCACTAGTTCTTTGCTCCGTTTCTGACTTTTACATGAGTGTGTATTGCGTCTGCTAGAGTGGAGACCTCGAGGGCTAGAGTGTAAGGCAGCGCAGGAATCTGGTTAAAAAAATATGGAACTTCTGTCCTTACAGCCAAAGTATACACTCTAGAGGCTTAATTTCTTCAGATTAATGAGGGCATGGTTGTGCTGATTGGATTAATGCGTTCATGGAATCCCAGAGTTCTTTAGTTCTGTCAACAGACCAGTATGATAAAGACACTCGCCCCCCCTCCCCCCTCCACCCTGACCTCTTCTCACTGTTAATCACTCAGTCAGTCTGTCTGTCTATTTCTCCTCCTCTCTCTCTCCCTCTATCTCTTCCTCACCAGGGTTCCCTCCCTCTCTCTATCTACACCCCCCCACCCCACCCAATCCAATAATCTAAAAAAAAAAAGCCCCATGGAGGGAATTTTTACTGTAATGTTTGTGATGAGGCCTATTAATTAAAAACTTCTTAGTTTGAATAACAAACATTCTGTCTCCCACTACGAATATTACTCGTACTTCTAGTACTACAACTGATACTTCTACTACCATACTACTAGTATTTCTACTGCTATTAATACTACAACTACTACTAATGTTATTACAAATACTACTATGGCTATTAGTGTTAGTATTACAGCTGTTTCTACTGCTATTGATACTAAACCAACTTCTACTGCTAGTACTACTAATACCACAATTACAACTATAACTACTACTAATATTACTACAAACAATTTTCAGCTTTTCAAATATCTGTCATTTCAGCAAATGTATTCAAATTCCCTTCAACTTTCTGTATTTTCAGCTATTTTTTAATATTCAGTGCAGCTTTCAGCTTTTAGCATTCCAACGCATTTTCAGCAGGAAATGCTTTTTCTAGTTTAATCTCTTATCTGACATCGACCGTTTTACAGCCTAGGCCATTATTGCTATTATTTGAACCCTACTGTCATTTGACCCTGTTCAGAGGCCGAACTGATGGAGGAGGAAGCAGAGTTGAATCAAGTAGGCGGAGACCCTGGGAAGACGGGTGGGATTCGACGGAGGAGGCGGACTTACAGCCGGACGCTGCCAGAGCACATGAAGCCCAACAAGCCGTACGGACAAGAGCCCCAACAGCCTCGGGATGGCAACATGGGTACATGACACACGCGCGCTGTCTCTGTTCTTTGGGAAGATGGATACCACTCCCACCCCTTTTCACTCTTATCCACAAGATCACGCATGCTAATTATATTGTGTACAAAGATGAGAAGTTGTCTCTTCTGCCAGGAAGTATTGTGTCCCACAAAGAAATGGTTCTGCAAAATAAGGCCATATACTATGTTTTGTGTGATTGGTTCCTTCTAATCTTTATGCGCTAATAAACTCAGTTTCTAATGCTTAAACTTTTATATGCACATTAGAATCTAAAATGCTGAATCTATACCTAGGAGGCTGCGAATGCAAACCATTCACTTCATTTTTAGTTGTTAGTGATGTCATAAGTGCTTGAATGTACATTTGAAGACTTTGAGAAAAGTATCAAGTCTTTCAAAAGTTGACTGTTGTACATGAAAGAATTTCTTGCAGCTTTGATGGCAAATATCTAGAAAATAACCACGGCTGCTTTCTTGTCACTACATTCTAGACTGCAATGTCTTACCAGAAAAATGTTGCAAACAAGTGCCACCTTTTTCATATTGATTATTTTTGTTTTCAAAAGGTTGTTATTATTATTATTTAAAATCTATTCTGTGTTTCAGGCCCCAACGAAATGCGCAACCTACACAAATGGAACACTAAGACCATAGTGGCTGGCATGAGCTTCATGTAAGTTAATAACCTGTAATTAGTTTATTGTGTAATGAGGATGCAAAGTGTGCCGGTACTCAGTGTTGTCCAAAGAGATGCACTTCTTCTAACGATGGACATTATTTTAAAGGCATTCTTGGTGTTTGTCTCTAAGCGGTCGGATTAAACTCTGCTTTCCGTCTCTTTCAGTCTGCTGCTTCTGATAGTGATGAACTTGGGTCTGTTTGTTAAGTTGTGGGCCATGGAGGACGTCGCCCACCGAATGTACCTCAGCTCAAAGCACCGGCTGAGGGACCGGACTGAGGCCAGGTCGGGAAACCTCCTGCTCCTTTTTGCAAAATGCATTTTTCTCTTTATTGTTAGTGCCTTATCTTCTGCTGTCGCTGTGTAGCAAATGTAAATATCATATATTGCACTTTTTAGAATAACCACCTTTTTGGTCTGCAGCTTGGCCTCTGAATATGGGCCCAGACAGGGACCAGCGTATCGGAGCAGAGGGGATCCGCAGCTGCTAAAATCTGTACTGCAGGACTCTATCAACCTTTTAGAACAGGTAGGACAAGCTGGGAACTCGCTGCACAAGTTAAACCCCAGAGATGTGAGATTCTGCTTTGGGGGGAAAAAGGCGAATCTTTTGGCTCCGTATACATCACTCTATATTGTAGTCAAACGGATGCATGCAGCTGTCATCTTCTATTTTACAACCAGCAGGAGTCCATCTCATGAATTCCTATCTGTCATTTAACACCTTTTTAAAAAAATAAATAAATTGGGTGTTGCTCTTCTCCTCACAGCTCCGCAGCTCTCTGATGGTGCTGCAGGAAACCTTCGCTTTGGTCAATCGCACAGCAGGGCCACGGTGATCCTCCACACCTGGCGACTGCAGAATGCCTGTGGGGAGAGAAATCAATGAATAGGGGACTGCAGTGGTGGACTGCTTCTGAGGACGTCTTTGGTATCTAGTGACGTTGCCAGGTACACATGCCCACACCACTGACATGTCATTTGTTGCCAGGGGTTACAGGTCCCAAAGCCTGTGGCGAGGCCAGGATGTTTTTAATGCTGCAGACTGACTGCTGCGAGGACAAAGTTGCATCAGAGTTTGCCGCACAAGGAGTAGGTTTAGATTTTTGTCGGTGCTATTTGCCAGCTCCCTCGGCTGGTGTCGTGTTTTTTTTTGTTTTTGTTTTTTTTCTTTCGTTTAAATACTAGTCTTGAAATTCAGCAAACGCGTGCTGATTGTGCCACACCAAATGAGATATTAAACGCTTTTTAAAAAAAATTTCATTCCAGGGATGTGAATTGATATTATTTGAAACCACTGTGTAGCTCTACTTTTTTTGCACATACTAAAATGTTTGCACAAGTGCTGTATTTTATTTTTAAGTTAAATCTGGTGAACCGAAGGTACTACTGAGGTTGGGCCTTTTTCACATCACATATACACGTGTATATGTTTTGATTGTTATTCCTTTTCACTTGTACGTGTCTTTTGTTCTACACTGTAAGCCAGGTATCGTATAGCGGTTTAATTGTACATTCTAGGTGTCTGGTCACTTCGACTCTCCGGTTATCTCAGCACTTTGTTTTCATACGCTCAACACTGCATGCAAGATTGTGCTCTGATTTCCAAAGTGACATGAACACTATTGTTTAAATCAGCTGGTTTTTTTTTTCAGCAGTTCTTGCAATCAACGATTTAGTATACCATCATAGGAGATAAAATACAACAATGAAAACCATTCAGAACTTGTTCATTTGAATACTTTTTTGCGTTCCTGAAATGGTTTTCTATGCTTTTGGAATTGTCTGAGTATTCTTAAGGTTGAACGGTTTTAGAAAAGAGGGAAAATGGCCATATTGCTTTTCTGTAAGAATCAAAGTAGAATGGGAGTACTGGAATGAATTGTACTAAGCCAAGATGACTGATTATTTTTTTGTATCATGTTTCGTTGTATGACGCTGCAACTATTAGCAGGACCTGGAACCAGAAGCGGAAACCTAAATGGGGCCAAATGTGTCTTTGTCCCTTTTTTGTCAGAGGTGAAATACAAGACTATTGAGACTTTTTTTTTAATTCTAGCATGTTCTTGTGTTCGCCAGGAGTTAGAAACACATCACCCTAAGCTGTTCTTATGCTATCTTGTAGTGACCATGAGTTTGTTGAAAATCTACTGTTGTGTGTATTTATGGGCTTTAATAAAAATAAATTAAATATATAGTTGCTCAAGTACTTTTTTGCTATTTCTATTGTATTCTATATTTTAGAGGATATTCTTTTCCCCAGTCTACAGTTAAGTTTGTTATTCCTACAAACCATAACAGCATTTACATTGGGGCGTATTTGTTCCTTGTGTAAATACCAATCTTATCCACTAATTAGGCTGTTGTCTTATTTCTTCTAAACATGGGTGACATACAGCTAAGTGTCTTGTTTGCAGTCTCAAAGAGGGACATAAGCTACTCTTTCTGGTTCGTGAGGTCAGCTGTCGGTCATCTGTTCAGCGGGCGGGTGCGTTGTCGCTCATTTGACGTCACGGGAGGGGGCGGGGCTACGGAACCCCACACCGGCTTCTTTTGTTCACGAGACTTCCGCGGTTACGCCGCTTTCACGTCACGGAGAAATACTTCCGTTGAGCAGCTTCGGCGGGTTGTAAACCGCCTCAGTCGACATTTAACGCGGCTCGAAGGCGTCGGCATGTGGCGGCTCTGTGTTCGCAGGTAAGTCGTGTCCCTGTTGTGGCTTTTGTTGTTTACCTTTTTAAAGCCTCGACATAACGCGTCCAGCTTCACGCATGTGTGACCAGGGGAAAACATCTGCCTAAACCGGTAGCCAGCGACAAACCGAGCGCGTGTCGATCGTTAAACGTAACGTTACTGCTTAGAAATGTATACAAAATAAATGACGTGTTTTTCTCAGGGAAGAAAGTATCCACAGTTGCACTTTTAAACTCTCTGCAACTTGTTACTTGATTAGGAGAATAACTCTTAATCTCGAATAGAAATGTGATCTAATATTTTAGGGAATTAACGGTAGAGTTGGATGATAAACTGACATCTCTCTGCAGCTGGAGTAAATGCAGCTGTGACTTCATTGAGTCCACTCAATAACACTAATACGTTAGAAGTAGCAATTCTCAGAATGGTTTCCTTTTCTGACAGATTTCATTACTCAACTAATTATTTGATCTTTAAGGAAAGCCTCCTATTTAATCCCACCAACAAAGGCATCATTTAATCCGCTTCAGCCCTCAACGTTACAGCACATTAAAGCGCAGAGCACTACAGTCCTGCTATGAATCCTTGCAGCAGTATTAGTTTTGTGTTGCTGTTCTCAGGAAGCAGATGTGCTACCACACATCCAGACACTCATTAATCAGCAGGTCTTCAGCTCCTCATTGACTGGCTCTAGGCGGCCCGGAAGGACGGTTACTCCGATGCCCTTTTTACCAGGTTTCTCTGCTCACTGGCTGATGAATATTAGTAAAACAACATATCCGGCTTTGATTTATCACTAATCGGAGGCTCATTTGACAGTCCACGACCCCCCCATTCCTCCACCCGGAGAGATGTTTTACTGAGCTGAGTGATTGTTCCCATTTACTAGTTCACTAGCATTGCTCTCTGTGATGGAAGGGACACTTGTGATTGTTGTACATCCTTCCACCGCCTCACCTCAGCCCAGATCCATCCGTTCTGTCTAAATAAGCCAGCAGGCTGCAGGAACGGTGGGACCGTTCAGTAGGTCATTAAAGCACAACCGATGTGGCGATGTTTGGCCGAAATCTCTCTGGATCAACTCCAATGAGTAGAAATAGCTGTTAAGCTGAAGTGTGTTACAGTATTTAGAGTTACTGTCCTTCACTTTTTTTTCTCTCTAACAAAAGTTAGCAATGTTAAAAAACTCTAATCTAATAGGTTGAAAGGCTGTTCATCATGAAGAAGCGAGCCAACAAGGTGCCGGAGGAGGAGCAGAACTTGTGCTGCTGCGAGTATGTGAACCGGTTCGGGGAGCGCAGCCATGTGGGAGCCTGCTGCTGTGACTGTGAGGACCTGGATGACGCCTGCGACCGGTGAGATGTAAACTCAATGCAAAATGCACGTCAAAAGGTTTTTTTGGTGTCCAGCTAAAAGATATTTAATAAATTTAGATCTTTATTGAGCTCAAACTTGGCCTTTCACCTGTATCTAGAAATCCTTTTGCACTGTATGCAAAAATAATTAAAAAAAAAGGAAAAAAATAATAAGGAATCATGCCAAGTAGTATTATTAGTGAAGTATTTATTCACACAAGAGTATGTGCAGTTTTTAGTTTTTCAACCTATTTGGGGTCTTCAAATCATACTGCTCAAATCTGTGTTCTGTGAGAATTTGAGAAGTGATGATATTTCATGCTTATGCTCTGTGCTCCTCTGGTTTGGTAATATTCGTATGAGCGATTCCCTTTTTAAAGTGCAAAGTTTAGAAGCGGCGGCGCTCTGCTTTTCGTTGGCGGTGGAAAACCCAAACTAACTTCTGATCCGACCCAAATACATCCCACCGTTCAAATGCACTGCTCCCAGAAGTAACGATACTTCACTTGTTTCTCTTTCAGGTTCCTGAAGAGGGAGCCTCAGAAACCCGAATCCCTGTCACATGTGGCCGCAGACGTCACGGACCGCCTCCGCGTGCCTTGGCTGTGGGGCGGCGCCCGAAAAGTAGACCTGACCGTCATCCCTCCTCTTCTCCTCCTGCCGGTCCTTCTGCACGTCGCCGCTCTCCACTACCTGCTCGGCATGGTGGTCCTGACGGCTCTGCCCGGCCTGGTGCTGTGGTACTACTATTTCACCCACCGCAAGAAGGGACAGACGCTCTTCTTCCTCAGCCTGGCCCTCTTCTCCCTGGCGTACATGTACTACTTGTTCGTCACCGAGGTGCTTCCCGACGGGGACGTTGGTCCGGTCCAGCTGGCCGTGGTAACTGTCGGGGTCACGCTCACCCTGGTAGCCCTCGTCCTCACCAAGAGAGGACCCGGCATCGTGCGGCCGAACCGGGAGGCTGTCCACAGCACGGTGACGTACTACACTCCCGCGGCGGACCGAGACCCCGCCGTCAACGGCGGGAGGCGGGACGTGACCATGACCGTGGCCAGCCGGGCGGGTTCTCCGGAGGGTTCGGGGGCGGAGCTGAAGGAAGGCGGGCGGAGGAACTGGTGCGCGACGTGCAGGGTGGAGCGCCCCCCGAGGGCGGGACACTGTCGGATCTGCGGTGTCTGCGTGCTGCGCCTCGACCACCACTGCGTTTGGTGGGTGCCGTTTAAAAAAACAACCACCTCTCACTCGGCGTGTCTTCACTGTTCTTTCCACTTTGTCCCACGTCGCAAACGTGTCATCTTTTCTCTACCAGCTATTTAATAAATCTAAAAACGAGTCCCGTTAATTGTCAAGACGATGGAGTAAGTGACTTTTTTCACCAAATTTGTATGTGTTGTTGAGCCGTCATCACACACACACACATTATTCACACCTACAAACAAACCGCTCCCTGCAATCATCCATTCCTACACTGTGTGCTCCTGCATGTGTGTATTGTAACCCTTGGGTCTCAGTACGATGTTTTGTGTGTGTGTGTATCCGTGTGTCCCCTCCGTCGGTGCCCGGGTAGGATAAACAGCTGCGTGGGGCAGACCAATCACCGCAGCTTCCTGCTTACGCTCGTCCTCTTCCTGTTGACGTCGCTGTACGGGATCAGCCTGGTGCTGCAGAGTGTGTGTCCCAATCAGCACCTCTTCCTTGCCCTGCTCTACTGCCCGGGGGTCTACGAGCAGTCCAGGTACAGAGAGCCCGCTGGGCTGGATGACTTTGACGGTCCCTTGAAGTGATATATTTTATATGTTTTAAGTATTCTTATCGTTCATGTTTCCAAGTCACATGACCAGATAAAGTGAACGGTTAAGAAGAAAGATTTAATTCTCTGTAGGGTCATCGATAGCGGTAAACAAGCCATCTTTTCTCATTGTCTTTGTCCAGTACTGCACTTCGCTTCACCTGTGCATGGTACAGCAGTATTGTGACCTGTGGTCTGCTCCACCTGCTGATGGTGCAGGTCATCAACGTCAGTCACAACGTCACCGAGCGCGAGGCCCGCGAGGCCCTGAGGGACAAAACCGCTCGCACCGCCTACTGGGGACTCGTCATCGACACGGGCGTCTACTCTAAAGGTTTCCGTGGCAACTGGGCCCAGTTTCTGACCATGAGAGAAAACCCGAATCCACCCTCTCCTGCCCCAATAAACCCGGTGTAAGAGGCTGCTTCCCAACCCTGATATTGAACCACGAGTCTGCAGCTTGTGGCTGCTGTTCCTGTGCAGGTCCACTGGGTGGCAGCATGGAGCTTTGCTCTGATTTCCCCTTCTGGTTGCAGCACTGCTTTTACTCCCGGGTTAAAGTTATTTATTTTTGGACACAGCAATGAAAACTGCAATAAGATACAATCACTTCCAATGATGTCACCCACAACGGGCATCTCCTCTTTGCAGCTGTGCAGACTCACTGACCTCAAATCACTCGTCACGAGTGTTTCTGTGAAACAAAAATGGTCTTCTCTGGATTTCAACATTGTCTCTGTGTGTCTTCCACATTCTAGTGTCTTGCTGGGCGTTGTCTAACAAAAGTGTGAGACTGAATAGTTGCTCTGGTCCCTCGTAAGGACGTGTTCTCTGAGCACGGCGGCAGCAAGCGACATGACGCCTCAGTGACGCACAATACACGGGCTGACCATCTTTTTTAAAATGCTCCTCCCGCACACTCTGTCCTCCACAAACACCTGCGGCGTTCGCAGAGGAGCGTTCCTAATTTGACCTTGTGGGTGTCATGGATTATTTATCACCGATGAATGAAACATCTCAGCACGAGCCAGATCATCATTAATTAAAGTTCTACAGTTTGTCATTGCATTTAACATGATGAATGATCGGATGTCCATGAATATATTAAGTTACTTTTATTCTCTTATCTGGTTTAAACGGAAATCCTGAATTATTTATAAGCAAACACACCAGTTCACATTAACGTCACCTTGAGAAGTTCGCACTCCGGGACATTAAAGGACTGAATCCTAAAAGTTGTAATGGTCTAGTTGTGTTTGTATGAAATTATTTATTTGTATTAAATGATTGAGAATCGTGCCAGTGTATTCATTTAGTGTTTGTATGTGTGTGTGCGCTCCAGAGCTGTTGGGATGTATGTATGTGTGGGGAGTGCGTTTCTCCCAGAGGCTTTACGGTGGATAGGAGCAGAAATCCGGCAGAACTTCAGTCACTCTCCTTCCCAGCTTCTCCCGCCGCTCGTCTCTCACTCTTTCCTTGCGCATCAGGCAGGGAAGCTGCCTCCAGGCCTGCAAACATCGCCACAGCAACCGTCTGAAGTGCAGGCAGGTGGGGGGGGGGACAGATGGGAACAGAGCAAGTGAGCAATAGGAAACTGAATTATAGGGACCTCTGGTTTGACAACACCTCACATAATGTCACTGGGAGCTCATTGACAAAAGCAGCCAGGCAGCCGGTGGGAATTCACCTGCGTGCAGTGGTCATTTAGCTGACGTCCCCTGAGGAGCCGGAGTTTAGAAACCCTCACATTCTTTGTCAATGACAGTTAAATCATTAGGTGGAAGCATTGAAGTGGAAAACTATTAATTTAGTCCGCAATGGAAAACAAAGAATAAAATAATGACGCTGTATTGAAATGCAAATAAAAGTTCCTGTTCATCTAGTGAACGGTCATAGCATCCAATCACAGACTTCACGTGAGGTAAATGTAATGTTTAAAAAAAAAAAAATATATATATACACATACTTTATATGCAGGGCTACAAACCAGTCGGTCCATAATCAAAGTTTCCACTTGAGCAGCACAACACTGACGTTAAACGTAATGGGAAGAGACATTTATTATGAACAACAGAGGCACATCACTATTAAAGAGTTGATGGTGTTGTTTAAAATAATAATAATGCATCAGCAGTTGCGGTGGAAAAAACAGCTGCATCTGATCCAATGTATCTTTCTTTCTTTATACTCTGCAGTGTTGGTGAACTAGCCTGTAGCAATTAGTGCTGACATGTAATTAAACAGGATGTTAAATTGAATTTGATCAGCACGCCGCATCCACACAGGGGCAGACCTGTTATTGTGCTCCTGAGCCAGCTCCTGACGGTCCCACTGCACAAGCCTCTCCCGGGTCACATGGTCCAGCAGTGCCAGCAGAAACCTCCTGAGAGTGCGCGTGCGATGGAAACGCACGGCTCTCTCCTCTTGAATCATCCGCCAGTCATTCAGCTGAAACGTACACACCACACACACGCACACACACACATTTACTGCAGTAAAATACACAACGGAACCACAGCAATCTAGTTTGAGTGAAAACCACTAAATAAGGAGAAAATTGTCCTTTTTCCTTAAAGTCGTGGGCACTCCGAACACATGATTGAGTGCAAGTAAAAGAAGATTAGGAGAAGGTTTAGTGCAGTGTCCTCCATAAGATGGGGAGACTGCAATCCCGATTGGGTATTTAACCGCGTGTGTGTGTGTGTGTGTGTGTGTATGTGCGCACGTTAGGAGTATATACACACTCTTTTCCAGCAGCTTAAGCTCCTCCGAAGCAAGAAGCGCCGGTACACTTGGTCAACAGAAGCTTCTTTCTCAGCCTGCGTCTCTCTGGCTGATTGCTGCCAGCCCAGCGTGCACCGCCTCAGGAGCAGGAGATTGTGATGACTCTCGGCCAGCTGGCGGGGATTGAAAAGAAAAGTGTCGATGCACGCTGATGAGCACATCCGTACTTAATCAAACCTGCCAGGTTGAAAACAATGCAGCGCTATCAAGTGATGAAGCGCCTGTCTTTGACCGAGTCTCTCAATTTAACTTGAACTAGTTTTTAGATCTGCCTGTGAAGTATTCCCTCAAGTTAAGGGTTTTTTTTTGGGGGTGGGGGGGTCCAGCAGAGAGGAACATTTTGAGGATTAAATCCTACTTTAAACAGAATACCGCTTCGAAGTTGTTTCATGCTTGAGCTTGGATGTTTTTCCTCTGCCTTGACGAGTGTGTGTGCAGGTCCAGGGGAGGACGACTGTGTTATTGGGTGGTGCGGTTATGTGGAGCTTTGCCGTTGGCTCGGGGTGTTCCTTTTAGCTGTGTATTTTCATCACAGTAGTTTTCACATGGCTCAGACTATTTACGGTGTTAAAGTGCGCTGTGGTTGGTGGTGCACTTTTACATGGTAATTCTTAATAATTCTTAATGCAAAAAACATCACCAATGGTAAGATAATGATAAAATAGAACACATGGAGGATGTAGAATTTAAAAAAATGAATACATTCCATACATACAAGAAAGAAGGGGAAATAGAAGGGCAACAGATTGTGTATTTTTTAAGAAAAAGCGCTGAGCTTCAGTTAAGGAGACAGGCAGGACATAAAAAAGCATATATAATCCTCTTTGGTTCAACATTTCGAGTTGTAGGATTGAGGGGACATGCTGACATTAACTGACGATGCTCTGCCTGTTGCTGTGGCTGACAGGTGATTCACCTGTGCGTTGGCTTGTCTGATCTGAATGATTCGTTTCCATGGCGCCAGGCCTCGCCGCAGCAGCAACTTTCTGTCGTAATGTTGACGGGCCAGCTTCAGGAGGTCCTGTTGCCTCTGCCGTTGCCTCTGTTTCTCCTCTTCCCTCTGCACAGACAAAAACAGTATATATATGTTTTTATATTTTATAGGGGTCACAGGAGTACAGTCCTGCTGCACGTCGGTCAGTGTTACCGCTTCCTGTATTTAGACGTGTATTATTGAACGCCCAAAATCCATGAACGAACCTCACCTCTCTTTCCTGCCTTTTCTCCTCTCTTTTCTTTACAGCTGCTTTGCGTTTCTCCTCCTCCTCCTCCTGCTGCCTCTGCTCCTCGGCAGCTTTCATCTGAGCCTGAAAAGTTCAATTAAATATATTTTTTCATATGTCTATACTATTTAATCTTGCTACTCATCCTACAAAACCATCCAGAAACAGAACTCTTCAATCTCCCTCTCACCAGTTTTTCCTCATCCTTTTTTCTCTTGAGTTCCTCGATTTCCTTCCTCCGTTCTGCACGTTGCCGTGCACGGACCTCCATGGCTTCAAAGAGATGAAGAGGGAGTTTAGCAGTAGATGTATGGATGATTAAGCATGATGGAAAGGATGATTTGTGTTGTTGTGGGACAATTTACATAAAATGCTGCTATAGGAGCAAATGTTAGATCCCCATAGTTGTGATTCAGGGTCATGCAATATACAATATACTAAATGCAGGAGCATTTTATGTTCAGTGGGATGATAAGTGCCTGCGATGTCATAAGTGTGGTTCTAAGCTCTGTGAGTGAAGGACATTGGCGACTGACCCGTGATGACTGGATGGGAGCACGTCTGCCGCGTGGCAGCTTTCCTCGGCGGTGGATGGAGACTGTCGGGTTCCCCAGTAACTCTTGATGCCCTGAAACAGCAGCAATCACAGCTAGAAGCACCGCGGGAAGCGCCGATAGCTCTGTCCGAATGTACTGTGAGCTGAATCTTGCCAGGGAAGTTTTATTCTGACGTTATTAGTTTAGACCTTATATTTTTTTTATGAAAACCCAAACATTTTTTGGCCTTTTTAAAAAACATTTTTTACATAAATTTGAAGCAAACAGCATTCTGTTAAACTCTCCATACGTAATGATGAATTTAAATCTGAGGCAAATGGGCAGACCTTTTTTTTCGTTTATCCATGAAAACTATGTTCAAGGTTCTTGGAAAGTTTCTGGGATCACATAGAAAACATGAACTATTGACTTTTGCACAGCGCCCGCTCCTCTTTTCTCTCTCAGCTGTATCTTCCATCTGCAGCGGTTTCTTTGAATCTATTCATAGATTCCTGTATTTAATAAGAAAAGCTATTAAAGGATAATAACTACGCGATTTACTACTGTTTTAAAATGAGTGTCTTTTTTTTCTAGAAGACAACAGGAGATATTAGATTAAAAGGGTAGGATTTCAAAATTACAGACATTCTTTCGATCTTTACTGAGAAATATCAATATGAAAAGGTACCAAAAGGCCATATAGTCACATGACTTAGAATTAGATCCACTGGACCAATTTTTAAATGGTTTATTTGAAAGTATAAAAATGCAGAATTTTGAATCAGCAGAAATGGAATATAATACAAATGTGGTTTTTTTATGAGTATAATCCCCTGAAAATAAGAATCTTCAAAACATTATTGTAACTAGCAAACCAAACAATCCTCGTTAATGGCTTCAAGTTGATGATAAAGCAGCGGTAGACTGTGTATTGACCATGTATAAAAGGGATCAGTTACCACATGAATGTGGGTGAATATGATGCCGTTACATCTAAAGCTTTTTTGGGGGCCATCTAGAACATTCTACAGCGAGCCTACCTCGGCTCTCTGGGATCAAAGTCGCAGCTCTTTGCTCTCGCTCCTCTTCTCGCTGACCGCTGAGCGAGCTGTGTGGTTTTCTCCATTTCCAGCTCCAAACCCATCGCGCTCTGCTCCCTCCTCAGCTGGGCGATCTGCTCTTGCTGATCCTTCAACAGCTTCCTCTGCTGCGTGATGATCTGCTGCTGGACGCCTCTCTGCTGTGCCCCGTGGAGCGCTGCAGCGGTCGGCGCCGCGTGGCGTCTGGTCACCTGCCACGGCAGAGTGGGCGGGGCCTCGGCACCCTCAGGGTTCTTATGCTGAGCGACCGCGGAGGCTTTAGGGGCCAAAGTGCTTGACCTCTGGTGGTCCTCCAACAGAGCAGACATAAAGATGATGTTATACATGAAAGATATATATATATATATAAAATATATATAAATATTTAAAAAAAATGCAGATGGATAACATGGAGACAGTGTCCCAGTGCAATTTAAGTCCAGGAACTCCAGGAATTGTGATATTTAAGCAGCGAAGGCTTCATTGTGAGGATGACCTCTGTATTGACCCATCAACCATGAACTTCATCTCTAGTGAGATGTTTCCCTCGAGCTCTGTTCCACAACCCTCTTATTCCTCTCTAGCCTTCTTTCCATCTGCGTTATGCCTCCACATTCTCTATTATTCCACCCCCCCTTCTTTCCTGCTGTCACTCTCTCCAGAGTTTTCAATATTTCAAACTAAGTTTTTCTCACTATTTGACTAAGGTTCATGCCATGCAAAGAGACCATGTAGAATCAATTATATTAGTATTTAAAATAAAGTCCCAAACGTATTTGTTGCCTCAGGGGTTTTAAGCTCTATGGTCACCTGTCAAAGATTGGGCTGACGTTTTGCTCATGATTCCACTCCAGAGGGTAAAAATGTCATTTGCAGTAGGGAGGCATCAACAAGGAGAATGACCTTAGTCCGATTCCATTGAAGAAATGAGTATGTGTGTGCGCCTCTCACCTTCTCCGGGGTCTCTGGTGGGTCAGAGGCCTCAGATGGGATGATTGCCTGGATCCTCGGAGGTTCAGTGGCCACGAGTTTGCCTCTCGATGCGGCGTTGATCAAGGCGGCCATCTTGCGACGGGTCTCCTGCTGCTGGGCCAAAAGCGCTCGTTGTTCTTTCTCCCTCCGACACCACAGCTGCCACTCATTCAGACATCGGCGTAGCAACCGCCTTCGGTCGCTCTCCACGGCCAGCTTGGATTGTCTGGAGCATGGAACAGACGTTGTAACAGGGATCAGGTACTGTCATAATAAACAGTCACATTTGTTAGTCACACCCAAATTTCATTTTCATTGAGGTTCTTGCCTGTGTTCAGCTCGTAGATCCTCTTCTGTTCTCACCAACTCTCGCCGCCGCTGCTCCGCCCACACCGCTGCCCGCCACGCACGCCAGGCTCTCAGCTGCCGCTTCCAGTCACAGAGGGCCGTGGCCTTCCCTAAACGCAGCCTCCGGTCCAACACGACCGAATACCATCCAGAGAAATGCCTCTGCAGACACTAAAACACACGCACAAATGCGTTCAAATACAATGTACATTGATCCGTTTGCCGTACGCTCGCAGTACAACCAACCTTGAGATTTACCATGACAACCATGGTTTGGAGTTTCTGTTCCTTATAAAGTCGCTCCCTCTCCTGCGGCTGCTGGTTTGAGGGAGGACAAGGAGCTGACTGGAGGCTTCTGGCTGTCCTTATACCTTCCACTCTCCCGCTTTCCCTGTGGAATCACCAAACGCCCCATAAAGAATCATTCATATCACATCGAGTTCCATCTTCAAAATAAGTGAGCATGAGAACAATTTACAAATAGTTTGTTTGGGTAAAAACAAAAGCTATAAACCAATGACGAGTTCTTCACACAATCGTACAACTACACCAAATTGTTTATTTTTTCTCCTGCTAATTTTTGTGCCTCAGATTACCTGAGGTTACAGTTGCTACAGAGAAAACCTTGGCGGGTTCCCACTTGTGTTGGCCAAGAGCTTATGTACCCTCCACAGGGAACCCTTCCACAATGCTGGTTTGAGTCAGAAAACCGGCTTACTTCCCTTGATCCAAGGGTTTTCAAAGTCTGAGACAGCAGTCCCCCCCCCCCCACGTATACCCTCCCTCCGCTGCTCAGGCGCCAAGCGCCTCGGCGCAGGCCGGTGGTTGCTTTGAACACCGTACCTCTGTCGAACCAGCCGTTCCAGGCCTCTCTTCTCCTCCATAACGCGCCGCAGTGTCACCATCTCCTGCTGCACCATCTCCTCCTGTCTACGCGCCTGCTGCCTCTTTCTTGTCTCCTTCTCTCGCTCCCTCCTCTTTGCCTCCTCTCCGGCACCCCGCAGAGCCTCCCTCTCCCCTTGTTGCCTCTGCCTCTCGGACTCCCGCCGGGCTCGGTTCTCTCGCACCTTCAGCGGCAGTTGGAGGCAATTGATGAAGGTGAGAAGACGACTCTCACTCCGGCTGATTTAGCCCTCAACGTCACAGTTTGTCCGACATACCTGAAGCTGTCGCGCTGCCATGGTTACAATCGGATCTCTGAACGTCTTCCTCTTTTGTCCAACGTCCAGTGCCAGTTCCTCCATCACCGCGGAGTCTAACACCTCTTGCTCCATCAGGTCTTGCAGGAAGCTGTTAACGGCAGTCTGTTCTTCCTCCTCGGCCAGGCAGTTATACAGATCTACAGAGTGTGAAAAAATAAGCATGATGTCACAACTAAAGAGTTTCTAAAAGTTTTATAAAGCTATTAATTATTGCTTTTAAATAGTTTTTCCTTGTGTCCTTTCATTTGACCATGATGTGAAAATCAATATTGTGAGATTCAATGTTTGCTCGAGATAAATAATCTATTACAGAAAGCATTTAGTTAACTATGGGCATTATACATCATGTTTTATCGTTCAGGACTAGTGCAGTTAGACATATGAATTGTTTGGAAAACTCCAACATCTAAGATGTGGAACTCTTCTGCACTAATTATTCCCATTATTCATTATGATTTGTAACATCAAATGGGAACCCCAACGTTCCCATATAATTAGGACATTTGAACTGGTTTAGAGAGCTCAATTGAAATGGTGACTTTCCGTTACCATCAAAGTTGCTGTAGTTGAGGGCGGCGGGCTGAGCAGCAGCAGGTCCAGTGGGGCTTCTCCTCTCATCGCAGCACATCAGGTCATCTTCCTCCTCCACCTCCAGCTCCAGCCGCAACTTACTGCTCAGCCAATCGCCAAGAAGAGCCTGAGCTGCAAGCAGCCCCGCAAATGTAATTGTCAGGCTTCAAGCGGGTGCACAGGCTCAACTCTATTATTTAGGTAACACTTCTCTGGAGACACTATTTTCTTTTCCTGTGTGCTGACCTACCTTCACTGTAAGCGTCATCGTGATCTCGTAACTGGTCAGAGCTTTGCAGCGGCACAGCTCGGCAGTTGGTTCCTGAACGAGGTTTCTTGTGGGAGAAGACTTCTGAAACGGCAAACTCGGAGGCCACCTCCACCCGCTAAGGACGAGGAAAAAAACTAACCAATGAATGTTTTCACGAGTGATTATTTTATGGATTTTTCAGTGACATGGTTAAACAGCCATTAGGTAAAAGGTGAGTTATCCAGCCTACACAGTCCCAACTGTCCAAAATCAAGCGCAAATGACTTGATATAAAACTAAATTGTCACCTTTCTCCACTGGTCGATATCGCATATCGCATTTTTCACATGCATCTGTAAGAAAAGAAAAGCCAAGGGTAAGCCGTCACTGTTTGAAAGAGAGATAACAGGGCGCAGGAAGATGTTCTCACAGTCACCTCTGCCTGCTTGAAAATTCCCAGCCAAGCAACAGTGTGCCAAACGACACCTGAGCCGATGCGGATTATTTCACAGGAAAGTTTAGCTATTGCCTTGAATCAGCAGATTAACCAATCGTTTCCCAAAGTCGGTGCTTTACTTTCAGCGATTCAGCAGTGACCGTCTCAGGTGCTGCAGGATATGTGAGTGTCGTAGCTCATCTGTAGGTTTATTATGACAATTATAATCCGTTCCACCGACATGAGCCGATCGTTCAAACATAATAAAACGGATTGGCCTTCCTTCATACCCTCAATAGGGGCATTTTCACAATCATATCGGATTCCTTGAGGAAATTAGATCATTCAAAAAGGGTCTAATAAATCGAAATATATTGAAAAAGACATTTTATGAAAGAGGAAAAGTTAATGTGAGGCGGAATGTAGACTATTATAATTAGAAACTCCACAGCTCTCAAATTAAAATAAATTCAAAGTCTAAATGTACCTTGTCCGCAGGTTTTCTACTCTTGCCGATCCCCCGCCACCTGAACAGGTCAGGATTGTGACCTGGGAATGTCATCATCTGCCTTGGCTAATAACGTTCCTTTTTTTATCGACAAAAAGGTATTGAGAAGTTATTACAAAGAAAAGTCCCACAGGATTCTGGGTGATGCAATATATTAACCATCTCAAGGCCTAATGCTCCCTCAACGATGCATTTTAGGACTACGTGGACCACTGCACTCGCTTTGTTGTGGTTGGTCACCATGACGACCTCGTTCATTTCTCTAAGTGAGCCAAATATGGGTTGAATTGAATAAAACGTCCAAAGAAATCTAGTAATGTAACGTATTCAAACTCTTCCATAAAGCACAACACAATATATTGGGGTTTTGATGAGAATTTGGTAGTTTTAATACTTCTGCGGTTGGTGATGACGGCATATTAAGTCGACTCGTTTTTTTCCTTTCCTACCTTGGATTTCCTTTTGCGTCACCAGCTTTTCCTGTGCCGCTCCAGTTGCCCAGCAACCTGTTGCTTTTAACAATAAACGCCTTGTTACTTAATTTAATTTTTAAAATGCAGCCAAAGATCGTAATCTTATTTATTTTAATTTAGGAAGGTATGCATTGCCTCCGTAGCATTAAATATTTCAAGCTGAAAGAATAATATTTTCCGGTCGTTTTAAATACAATAAAAACGGTTACTTTTACTTAAAAGTCATGTTGGAATTATACAGTCAATAAAAACAGTAGCAAAAGTAAAATTCCAGTAAAATGTATAAGGTAACTAACGCTTCTCCCGCTGCTGGCTCACCGCTCTCCATCCTGAATAAAAAGACTACATCAGATATGTCCTCCGAATTGGGGACAGGAAGGCTGCACTCGTCGACCGCATTTGAAGGAGCCGACGGAAGGTTACCGCGGCGGCGCAGCCACTGTGACGCAATCGATCTACGTATGCAGCCTCGTGAGGACACAGCCGCTGCATTGGGAAGTTAGCTTAGCAAGTGAAAGTTGTAGGTGAGTGAATGGAATTTGGTTCAAACTTATTTAAACAAATACGTAATCATACCCAGCGCGACTGCAACACCCTGCGTTTTCTTAACGTCAGCTAAGAGAAGCAACAGCGAACGCGTTAATAACACGTGAATGTGGTTCGGCTACTGAGCTAAAGTGGCTAACGTTACTTCACGTGTGTTTTGCTAAGCGGTGCCACCGTAGTCCGAACTCGTTGTGGTTTAGATAGTGTTCGTACGTGTAGTTGCGTTCCGTAAATCCCCTCAAAGCTCCTCGCATGGCCGGCTGCAGGATGAAGCTGGAGCTGTCCCGTGTAGTCCAGGGAAGAGGTCGACTGGGGGTCCTGAAGGAGCTTGGCAAGACGGGGCAGCACTCTCTGGAGGTCCCGGGATGCCTGCTGCACACACACCTGGGCGCAGTGCCCCACCTGACCCGGGACACCCTGCACACCCTGAGCAACCTCCCCTCTGTCACGCAGGTCACCCTGTCCAACATGTAAGCGTGTACATCATCACACACATGCTTTCACTCGATCACAGGCAGGTAGGACCACATTGAATTATAAGCACGCTATACTAAAGCTAATAAACTAGATATGACTCCCGATGACTTATTCTACTGGGATTTGGAATTATTATCTTATGTATAAAGTGTCCCCTGAGGAGATTGTACAAAAAGTAGCTTTTGGCAGAATGATATAATAAACAACTAAAGTGTACCTCTCCATCTCGACTTTCGAACAGCCTGTAATAATATGGACCAGTGCTTCTGTCAATGTTATTTTAACTGTTTGTGATTAATATGCAACCTTGATTATGTCTACTTGCTTATTGATGTGTTTTCTTTTAATACCATCAACCTGCCAGAGCAAAAGGAGTTTCCATGACAACATTCACATGGTTGCCCATATTAACTAATTTACATTGTCACTTCTTCTGAAATGAAACAATCATAAAATAAACTCTTTCTCTGAAATCTATTTTTTCCCTTTCTTAAGAGCAGAGCATCAGGAAGTATTGGAGGAGTTCAAGGATGGATTCAGGAGGTTTGCAGGTACTTTTTGTTCTTCCTCTCACTTCCCCTTAGTACAACCTATTTCCCAATGAGTGATCAGGAAAAGAGTGACGACAATAAGTTGGGAAATTTATAGCAGACCACAAAAAAACAATTAGACATATTCTTATGTATCATTTTATTTACATACACTTTATAAAGGCACCCGATTGAACAGACATCCAACAAGACATACAGTCATGTTTAAATTTGTTGTTATATTTCAATGAAATAGTTTGAAACTCTTTAGTTTGTGCTGTTAAAGGCAGATATTAGTAATGTGCCAATCTGATACTCCATACTGGTCAGAATATTCAACCAGATATTAGAAAAACTAGAGATGAGTAGCAGCTTAACATATTTGTACAGTAGCCAGTCGGTGCTGAAATGCTATTGTAAGCAAAGCGGGTTAATGCAAATCTATTTATGTTGATTTCTCCCTTCTCGTCCTTTAAAACAACAGCCTCAACACGTGTTTCACCCAGAAGCTGTTCTTTTCCTTCAGTCTCAACTTTACACAGCCCGTCCGATCTAATGAAAAGCTTTACAAACAGCTACTGGGTTTGACATTGTATGGCATTTTTTGTCAGAGAGAAAGGACATTATTGGTTTGAGATTTGTATCTTTTAAAGGAGGCTTGCAGGTATGAATGTCTTTCTCAAATATTATTTTCTGCTCTCCCCTTTAATGGACTGATCAGTAAGTCTCTGCTGAAAAGCAGAACATATGAACTGTGTTTATGAACCAAAGTAGCTCCATAATCATCTCCATGTCACAGAATAGGCGGCCAGAGGAAGAGTGATTGGGTGTAGAACTATTTGAAATATCCCCTTTAACCTTCATTGGTCTCATTTTAAATAGCAACTACATCAGAAGAACCTCCGCCAGGCTGAAAATCCTGTGCTGGTGTGACCAGTTAATGTATATGATGTAAACCTCAAGCATGCACGCATTTCATCTGAAGAGCTTGGGGTGTTTTTAATATAATTTCCCGGGGATTGGAAAGACGGGAGAAAATATCTTCTAAATATATATCATGTTGAGTTTAATGCTGATTAGCTCCATAACCCTGAGCAGAAGGTTATGAGTAATAAAAAGAAAATCATTTTCAAAATCAAAATGCACCGTTGCTGTACAACAGTAGCCTTCGTACTCTGCCTCAAACAGTTTGTAATTGTTTCAACTCTCTGGGGATTCCTGCTGCTCTGTCTCTGTAGTGTCAGAAGAGCAGTGATTGAATAATTAGAAACAATAACATCCGATTCGCTGCCTATAAGCTCTGTTTTCTCACCTTTCGATCCTGCGCTGCGGCTGTGTTTGCCGATAAAGCCACAGCTCATTCCTCCTCGTCACATCAACATGCAGTAACGAAGCTCAATGTAACCCTTTTGTTTAACCTCCAGTTTTTTGCATTTATTTTCATTTCGTGCAGGTCTTCACAATACCGTGTTGTACTGCTCGCTGCACGACCCTGCGACTCCCTGCCCAACGGGTTACAACACTACCAAGGTGAGGAGAAGCTTCTGCTTAAAGGAACGGCTCCACGCTTTGGAATATGTGCTTATTCCAAATTCATGCAGTGAGATGAGGCGAAGACGATGACAAGACCGACGCGACTCCCACATCTGTGTGCTAAACTAGCGGCACCTCCAAAGGTCCAAAATTACATTTCTGAAGTTGTGATTTCATGGGGGTTGGTTGTGTGGTGGAGTATTTCTTGGCCTGGGAACAGTTGCTAGGTAACCAGTGGAGACTTCGCCGAAGGAACAACACGCTACCGCCCCGTAAAACCACATTTCACACTTCATTTGGCACTTTAATAATTAGTGAGATTCAGTTGCCTTCAGACGGGTCCAACTGTATATTATACAAAATACTGGTGTTGTGCTGTTTTTGTACATTGCATATTTGTTTTTTTAATCAATACTGAAAACCTTTGCAGGTGATATTGACTATATTTTTGCACATTAACGCCAAGCTCTTTACCCTTTAAGCAGTTTCATGATACACAATTCTTTAATAATGCTAATAGTATTTTTTCAATATTTGTAAAGCAAATACCTTTTTTAATGTTTAAAACCTGATTGTCAATGTACTGGATTCTCAGTCTGATTTCTGGAATTGGCATCGATCTTCTGATCCAGTACTTGTGTTCCTCCCACGATGCCAATCAGTAAAGAGAATTGGTTCACTCAAGCTTTCTTTCTCTTCTTTTTTTTCAACTCCAGTGCCTTTGCTTTACATTTGTGGTTAGACGGTGTCCGTGTGGGGCAGCGGTGGGCGGATAGAGCTGACCGTGGCCAAGTTCATGGCTCTCCAGAAGACCGTGCAGCCGGACTGGTACCAGAGCATGGCCGATGGAGAGACGTGGCAGAGCGGCACGTCGCGCAAAAGGGTTCGGAAGTCGGTGGACCGAACTCTCGCCCACTTAGATGAGTGTCTGCTGGTTCACCAAAACTCCCAGGTACGCACACACACACAGACACGCGCAGCCTAAACATGGCTGCTCTTTTACGTTTGTGAATCAATCACGCGCGGCACAAGTGCACATCGCAATGATTGATAGCCGGGTGTTTTTTTGTCGTAGTTGCACGTGCGGCTGTGCTGCGGCTGCAAAGGCGGTGAGATTAGGAGGAACCCATTAATTGGTAAATTCTTTTTCAGTAGGCCGAGCATCAAGCATGAATAATGGAATTAACTTTATCCTCTAAAAGCAGTGAAACGCTAGAGAGAACCGAGCTGATCCACACAAAGAAGGAGATGGTATATGACGCTTTTACTCAGTTATGCTCCAAAGGAGGTTGTCTATTTATGTAACGGTACAGCTGTAAGATCTGTAGCTTGATTTATAGAACATTGTTTATTGTATTTTACATTGTATTGAGTGAGCTGCTTGAATGCTACTGAAAGCCGCCCCCCCACCTCTTTCCTGATAAGCACTCAGCTTCATGCTGAGGCATAAAAACCCAGATGGGCTCTGACAAGAATAAAACATATATGTTTGAAAAAGGACATTTATGTTTCAATATACCTTTTTGCTCTCTCCTTTTATTGGCTCCCTTATCTGTCAGAGTTTCGGCTGTTAAATCCCCTCTCTCTCCGCCTGTTATTTCCAGGAGTTGGAGGGGGTGGAGGTTTTTGGGGTCGTGGAGGGAGGAGACATCCTGGAGGAGCGGGTGCGCTCTGGCAGGGAGACCGCCAAGAGGCCCGTGGCTGGATTCTGCCTAGACGGCCTACAGACGGGTTCCATGGATCAGGCCCTGAGGACCCAGCTCATCACTGCTGTGACCAAGGAGCTGCCTGAGGACAAACCCAGGTCAGCCTGAATAAATGTACACACACAAACGCACACTAATCATGCAACCGCGTTTAAAAATAGTCAGACATTAAATCAGCTGCAAACACAAGGAGGCATAGAAGCTGGGTGGACAAATGCTACCCTGTTATTCATTATCTTATCAATAAAACAGAGGCACACTCTTCACTTAATCAACAGTCTTTGGAGGCTCCAAATCCGTGCAGGAAAATAACACCCATATTGGTTTTCATCGTTAATGATTGTGTATATTTTTCACTCCGCAAAAGACTTGAAAATGTTCATTACGATTCTAAAAGACTATTAAATGTTTTTTTGCTGTAACTATTAAAAACAGCCGCAGTGTGTCCAACCCGACTGACTACACTTTCAGAGTGCAATACTTGTAAAAGCCAAAACTTTTCCTCGATGTTACTGGCTCTCTGATCTTCAGAAGCCTGTTGCCTCTCTGAAGCTTTTCACTGGGAGTATCTCTCCCATGAGTGCTCCTCTCACAGAGGTGATGGAGGAGATCCGGACAGTCTCCTTGTTTGCCGGCGGCTCTGGTCGGGGAGATGTTGGGAGTGGATTCGTAGCGCTAAATTGGCCTTGACCTTGATGCCATCGGGCAGAGAGTCAGCGGGAGCCAGTTAACTGTGACGAGCACAACCACACAAGGGTGCACATTTTGTTAAAGGGTGATGTGTTGTAGACGCTTAACCCCTTGAGACCCACAAATGCCCATTTTATAGACTCACTTTGATGGGATATAGTGTCGATTTCTACACGGATTTACTGCAAAATGTGACAACAGAAGAATGAATATAAAAATGTGAAGCCGTCTGAATTTGAAACAAAGTACTATTCTAAACTGTCTCTAGAACACTATTTAATCATAATCGTTCCCTATTTGGATTCACCGGTTTCTCCGGTCTGTGACCCTCAGGCTGCTGCAGGGCGTCGGACGGCCGGACGAGGTGCTGGCGTGTGTGGAGGCCGGTGTGGACCTGTTCGAGAGTTTCTTCCCCTTCCAGGCGACGGAGCGAGGCTGCGCTCTCTGCTTCGGCTTCGACGTCTCCTCGGACCCGGAGCTCGCAGGTAGAGCGCCCCCTGCAGGTGTGGTGAATCGCTGCGCCGGGGGGGGGGGGGGGGGGACTAATTTGTTTCAATTTTTTGTTTTTAAACGTACAACATTCAGGGGGTAATTCAATGCATCAGAAAAAGCCCCTTCGCCTTGTCACAACCCCTTAAGCGGAGCTCGGCCAATCATAGCGTAGCTTGATTGCTAGCACATCACTAAGGCGTGTTCATGCTACAGAGGGGAAAGTCAATGGCTACACACGCTGCTTTTCTTTTTAATGGTCGTAAGCGTGCATTAGGACCTACCTGGGTGTAGTTCCAGGTTTATAGCACGGCTGAAGTAGTGTAGGGGGGGGGGTGAAGAGGCTGTTGAAAGCCCCATGTTACTCCCACATTTGGTGTCACTCCTGGTTTTAAGTGCTTGCGTGATGGTTTCTAGTTAATGTACATGATGCCTCCACACCAAACTCCATTGTTAAACAGCCTATTTCATCGTTAATGAATTTACATGTATTCCGTTTGTCGTGTACTCCAGCAAATGATCTGAGCCACACAAATGGAACATCAGCAGATCCCGCTTGTTAACTTCCAGCTGCTCTAACTTTTTCCTTTGATCTGCTTGGACCCTCCTCCGCTCTGTGCTGCTTAAAGATTCCCCATTACAAATGCATTAGTTCACACACTGCACGGCAGTTATTTATGTAACCGTCACTTGCTTTTGGACATAAGCATTTATCATTGAAATTTAAATCAAGGTTTAATTCCAAATTTAAAAGGAGGATTATTGTGCTCTTGTCAACCCATCTGACTTTTTAGGTACCTTGCCTAAAGCCAAAACATGTTTTAAATCCTGGTTCTATTCAGGAGCTTGCAACATTTGCCTGAAGCAAACATTGTCATTTGGATTGAATGAAACCATAATAAAACAAGTTTAGGATTGAGAAATATGATACCCATCACAACGAAAGTGTGCTTTACATATTTTCTGTGGATGAAGCGATGAGTAAATATTTAAATATATTTATTTATATGAAGACAGAAGTTTAGGTGCAAGAAGGGACACCCCTTTGATTTAAACGAATGGTACCGAGTAGAGTGGAAAAATTAATCAAATTCAAATTAACATCGCAATGTAATAGAAAGCTTTTGGTTAAAAGCTCGACTAATCAAACGTTTTAATTGCTACAATATCAAACCCAGCAGAGGGTTGGAAAGCTGTGCTACACTCCGTGCGACACGTGAGAGTAGAGAAAAAAAACAACTCGGAAATCTCGCATTCATTTTTAATATGCAGCGCTTTGTTGTTCTGTTTTTCAGAGGTGAGTTGAGTTATGATTATATTACATGTTTACTGGCCTTGAAGGCATCAATATTTGACTCTGAAGGTTTTTTACACCTCACTAGTTTAGTCATATCCATGCATTAATTCATGTCATTATATCAGCACATACATAGACCTGATATACAGTTCACTCCTTCGTTGTGTCTAATGCGGTTTGTCATTCAATTACTTATTGCTCGTGTCTGGTTAATAATTTATGACATAAGGAACAAAAAAAAAGGCTTTCAATATTGATTTAAAATGATCTGTATAATATTTCCCCATATTGCCCATCACTTGAATAGTTATGATTTAGATATGCAAAATAATGAGCCTGGTGGGCTCCTACAGGAGGGGCCTCTGATTCAGAGTTAGAAAATGCTTAGAAATGTTCCATGTGCTTATATGAAACTGAAGGGCCATTCATCTCAAAGGAGAGAGGCTGAACAGAGACCCTTTTTCTAATTGCACCATCTTTTACTACACTGAAAAGGCACAGACCTTGCGCAGCATCTTCGGTGTGTATTATCAGCGCTTGATCTAATTTCAATTTGGGCAGAGCACGGGGAGGTCAGCCTGCAGTTTGAGCCGGTTTTCACATAATGAAAAGGAAAGGGGTGCGTGTCTCCTATTTCCCTGCGGATAATGGATTTATTTAGCTTTAAAATCAGGGCTGGATAGGATGGTTATTGAAGTTGAGGATGTGCGTGTGTTTGTGTGTAGAGGTAATGGTCAGTTGAGGTAATTGGGCAGAAGAGAGTCAATCGACGGTGCATTACGTATCTGCCGAGGTAACATGAAGTCTGGGCCCGTGATTCTGTGAGGAGCTGTGGGAGGCGACTCGCGTGCTTCATTAAAACGCTGCGTTAAACTCGTCCCGACAGCCGGAGTGAAGTTCGGTACCCGGCAGCATCCGGTGTCAGGCGGCGTTCGCCGACTCTGCGCCGGCAGTCTGGTGGAGTTCAGCGGAGGTGAGAAGTGACACAACCTCGAGAGAAGTTCTAATTCCCCTCTCAACCAATTACTGAAACCCAGTGGGGGGGACTTTCTCGTTCAGGCCCTCTTTTGACTGTACGCTCTGTCAGCCCTTAACCTCTGGGGGTTATGCGCTTCGTCTTTTTGAACTTCAAGTTTTCATCATCGGATTTTACTTTTATTCCCTAAATCCCCTTCCTGCATCTATTCCGCCCTAAAAAGCCAAAAGGCGACGTTATCATTTTTGGTCATTGACTTAAAACCAGAACCTGTTTAACCCTAATATGAGTCATGCCATGTTATAAACTTTTACGACTTTGAAAAGTCTCACACTTTTAATTGTTTTCAGGTCATGAAATCTGATATTTCTTTTCTTGCAAAAAATGAATTGAAAAAAGCGTGATTGACTGCTAAAATGTCAAACTCAACTTCATATCCCCACAAACCAATGGGGGTTGTGACAGTGATGATGTCCACTTCTAATATACAGTCAATGAGTTTAGCTACTGGGGTTTTAAATGTATTTGATTAAAAAACCTGAGTCGGTTGAAGCCCTTTTCTGTTCTGGTCTTTATAAGACAGACTTGCTCCTCAGCACGAGCTCCTCCTCCCTTCTTTAAATCTTCCTTTGGCCGAGCCTCATTTTTTTTCCCTGGTGTTCTCTTATCAGTCCCTCCTCAAAGCTAAATTCAATTTAATGCTCAGTTTATACACTTTGTTGCTCTCTGCTTCACCCGTTACGGTTGGCGCTAAACCCATTTTGCTCTTTGTTACCTTTTTAAACCCTTTAATCTTTAATCAAATTCACAGCTAGTTTTTTCTTCCTCCATCTCCCTTCCTCCCCTGGTGTCTGTAACTGTTGTGTTCCCTCCTGTGAACAAAAGCCCTCCGCATCAAACACACCCACCTCGGGTTACTTTTTTGTACGCATTAGATGCAATGAAGTTTTCACCTTGCAGTGAACACCCCCCTGTTTACGACACAGCCAGTGAGCAATTGTATTAGAACAGTGGAGAGCATGAAAGGACACCGCAGCGATTCAAAGGGGTCGAGCTACAGTCTGTTTTATTTTTGCCTTCAGGCCGATAAGGCGTTGTTTTTTTTCCCCCCGTGTTGTGGCGTATTCTCTGCTAGCGGACGGGGTCATGGCGTGAGTGTTTTTTTTTGGAGATGGGACTAATGCGCGTGTGTGTTTCCAGTGGTGGAGCTGGCCGAAGAGAAGACCGCGTCAGGAGAGACCCGACAGAACGGAGACTCAAACCCTGCCGATCAATCGCGGATGACGTCCTTTGAAATTGATCTCAAAGACAAGAGGTAGTTGCCCGTCCCACAAACCCCCGACGGTGCTCGCACAATCCGGAACACTCGATTCATATTCACCGGGGGGGGGCGCGTGTTCATGAATTCTGCTAACTCGCAAACTTTGTTTTGAACTTCTTCTCCGAAGGCACAGAGATGACTTCAGGCCGCTGGTCGAGGGGTGTGGCTGCTACTGCTGCGTGAACCACCAGAGGGCGTACCTGCACCACCTGCTGGTGACCAATGAGCTGCTGGCCGGAGTGTTGCTCATGATCCACAACACGGCCCACTACCATGCCTTCTTCAGGGCCCTGAGAGAAGCTCTGGCTAATGATAAACTGGACGTCCTTAAGAGACGAGTACTCGGGGAGGGAGGCGGGCAGACAGAACGAAATGAATGACTGATAAATCCCACTGATAGAAGGATTGATCCTTATTCTCCTCGTCCTCCTCTACGATCACTGGACTCACTCAAAGCTCTGCCTTTCTGCTGCAGAGGAGTCCCTCCACATGCCTCTGAAGTTACGCTCCCTGAAGCAGATGCTTTTAATGCAGGAGGATGAAAGGACACCATATAGGCGACCATTTGATGTGTGTCCCTCGGCGGTGCGTCGTGGTTTCACGCTGTAACGGACCTGCTTAATCTGGTGTATTGATCATAGCCGGGAGAAGTCAAAGCGAGGTGGGCGTGAGAGGAGCTGGATCAGGGGGACTTTGCATAAAGGGAGGAATGTGAGGACGTATGGCGGTGTACCATCGACAGTGACTGAATACCTTTGAGCTCCTCTGGACGAGTGTTGGCCAGAGGGAGAATCGACTCGGGTGAACCGTTACTTTCATTTCTCCTGTTATGCGTTAAAACATCACCTGTATAAAAGTTCCCCCAAAGCTTTTTTGTCGAGTCAGACTTTTTAAAAATCATTTGCTCGAATATCTAAAATGTATTTCGCTATCTGCGTCCGTCAAATCCACTGAATAATCGGCACATGTGATGAGATTGGGTGTGGGTTTCGGGAGGTTACCTGAAGGTTTACTGCACCATCGTTCCTGCTGCTGAGAATGGATGAAATTCAGGGGTGGAGATGGGTCTCTACAGCCCACCGTGCAGACGTGCAGGGAGGCCTTTTTGAAGGTGAGGAGGTATAATTGACTACTATTCCACCAGATGTCTGTGGGGGACGGACCGGGCTGGAGGAGAGTGTGACGGATTAATGGAACAGTGGCGAGCCCATTTTGTCGCACTTTTGGGTTACTTTTACTCCAAAGTGCATTCTAGAGTAGTAGCTTGAAGGATTTTCTGTCATCGCTAAGTGGACAAAGTGCACGAATGAAGAAATATAAAACGTATTTGGAATGAAAGTAGGTAATTTATGCCTGTGGGCGAAATAAGTAGAAAACTAAAGTGTGGAGAAACTTGTGATGCCATGTTAGCCAGTAAGAATAGAAGTAGTAAATGGATAATTCCGTCCTCTCGCTGATAACTGCTGTTCATAGTTTAGTCGGGAACCCTCAGTGGAGGTGTTCAGCAGCTAATGATGTTTCCATGTGGGATTTGTATTAAAGCCGCTCGGTAAATCCACCCTTGGTAAATATATGCACTTGTTAGAACAGGGTTTCAGTCTGAGCCCCTTAGAAGATATTTTTGAATCAAGCTGCTTCTAATAAGTCTTGACTAATGCATTCTAATTTATTATTCATTTTGATGTATTATGGGGGTCTTGAGATGAATCCGTCTCTTAAGCGGGAACATGTCCCACTATGTCCAGCAGCTCTCCAGCTCCTGAGCAGGTATGCGTCTGCAGTCATCCAACCTTTTTTATTGAAAGAATTTGGCAGCTGTGGCTGGAAATAAAAAGGTACTAAAATGCTCCATAAACATGTCCCTTTGGATTTATTACTGTGAATATTCCACATTTATCAAAACTTTCATTTGGGAAGCTTTGAACTGGTAGACTTTTAATAATACAGCTGTTATCTCAGCATGTCCAGTTCTTGCTCGGATTTCAGGTTTCAGTAAATCTATTAAATTTCTAATTATTTAAATATATAATAAAAATCCAGGAGGAAATATCCATATAAGAGGAACTTTCAACTCGTTTCAACAACTTTCAATTGTTATCTGCTGTGGTGGCAGCAAGAAGGATCAGATCAGCTGTTCTCCCACGAAGCCGCGTTGTTTGAAGTGCGGTCGCCGTTATCGTGGAGGAAATGTCGGCGAGAGAAAAGTTTCATCGGCGAGAGACTGCAGAGAGAAAGTGACACTATTTGTCACTTTGAGAGGCAGGTGTCGCATTGTGACGCATCGGTGCCTTAAATCATTCATTTTTTTATGTTTCACAGCCGTGCGGCAATTACTCAAAGGAGCCACTTTGTATTCATGTGCCAAGATCCATCTTCATTTATTATTTGCCTAAAAATGACTCGACAAATTTTTGCGCGACATTAATAACCGCTTACGTGGCGATGGTAACGAAAACAAACATGACAAAATACACGTCACAGTGTACAGTGTGGCTCCTCTAAACGTCCACGCACACGGGCCCACCGTCTCCTCTCCCTCCCCCCTCCCGGACCCCGCGGTGACCCTTGACCTCGCGCGAGGAGCGCCTATCTTTTTTTTTCCCTCTCACCGCGCTGGCTGTGAAGGATTGCTCACTAAACAGGAGTCCAGATTGCTTTATTACCTCTGCGATGTGTTTCAGGATTAATTTATTCACATAAATCATCGGCCGACAATGTTCTGAATCAGAAGGGAGCCGGTCGGTCGGTGAGTGAAGACTTCACGAGGGGGATTTCTGAACGCGCAGGTTAAAGGACTCTCACGCATAGAGGTGGAAAAAGGTCACGATATATTAATAATCCAGACCTTTTCATTCCTCATGACCTTCTGCGTCAGTATCGAGTGGATGGGATAAGAAACTAAAGTATTATTCTCCTTTCACAAATCTGGAAGGGATAAAAACAATCTGTGTTTTACATCTGCACACATCTGTAGTTATGTGTCCCGCTTGTAATCACACACGCAGGCTTAATTCTGAGAATCACACTTTTATTAATGCCGACCATGTTTGTCTTTTTAAGTTTATGCTCTTTTTATGTACCTGTAAAGCCAGGTGCTTGTTTGTTGGTGTTGTCCTTTGACTTTGTTAAAGCGATGGTTGTTTGAGCGTCAGTCGAGACTTCAGTTGTACAAATCTGGGCAGGACTGAGTGTGTTGAGGTCTACGTTGAGTGACGGTTGGGATGCAAAGATTTATTACACAGCTGCAATGGGGACGTCATAAAGCAAATAGAAGTTTTTATGATGACGGCCCTAGAGGATGTAACATTTATTCTGAGGTAAACATGAATACCAAATTTCCTGTCAATCGATATATTATCAAATAATTGATTTACTTTCACAAAAAAACAAAGATTGATTACACCAAGTCCTCTCTTTGACTTACACATCCTCTCTTTGTGTCCACACCAGTCCCAAAAATGTATTGTTTGAGTGGAAGCCAAGGTGGTCGGAAATAAAAAAAAACATTTATTAGAAGTTTTATTTTGTCTTCCCCTGTCACCAAAAATGATCTCTCCACAGTAAGAAAAATAGTAGGATTATAGAAAATTGTAAAAAATGCCTTTTCCTGCAACACGTATTTGTCACACAAATCGATAGTTGGAATATTGTCCCCGGGGCTCGAGGGTAACGCACGTTTCTCATCTTCAAATTGGTGAAGTCATGCTCCTTCTGCACAGCGATTCGCTTCCTAAATGCAGGATTACTGTGTGATTTCGTGATGCTTTTTACTGTTCAAGGAGCTAAAATCCTTCCTCTTCTCTGTAATTTAAGTCAGTCAGGAGTTTGTTCAGGGGAAACCAAATGTTACAGAAGGTCAGGTGAGATTCTGCCTCTCTAGTGTCTGTGATACTGGAGCAAGGCTCTCCCTTTCATATCGCTCTCCTGCCCTGGAGGTCAATGGAAATGGAATGAAAGGTCAGCTGTGCTGGGACAGCGCGAGGACGAAAAGGCCACCAGTTTGACCTTTACTGGTGAGGATCATCGGTTACTGCGGGTAAACGGGGAACTGACGCCTCGCTCAGCAGCGTTTTCAGGTCGGGTTTGCTGGAATGGAAAGCAGCGGGAGATGTAGGGGAGGAAAAGGGGGGTTTTCGGGAGAAAATCAACACTTAAAGGGTTCTGAGCGGCTGCATTAGATTTGCTCTTTGCAGACTAGGTAAATTGCCTGAAGGGATTTGCAGGACCTTAAACGTTGACAGCTAAAGGCCTCCTGGTGTTATTTCTACATGAGCAATAGTTTGAAATCCCTCCTTCACAACGAGAAATTATTTAGGGATTCATCTTCCTCTTATGGTGCAACACGTGGAATATTAGCTCCTGATATTTCCTGAGGGGAAATTTGCAATGACACTTCAAACCAGTTCCATTTGATTGCCACGGTTTTCTGAAGCTCATCCGGCGCTTGTTTGAAAGTGAGAAAAGACGTTCGGGGACGGAAGACTTTTAATGATGCTGGATTTATGTGATGCCCTCGTCAATAATCAGGGATTTACGCTGCAAATCATCTATTCCCGTCCTCCAAAATTCAGGATGGTTTATTGTCAATCTAAAACCATTATTTCTACAGTAAGTGGTTAATCTGCCGCAATCACAGCGTTCATTTGAGCTTGATGCACGGCATTGTGTGCCTCGTGGCAGCACAGGAGTGTGGAGAAAGGCCCCATTGATTCTGCATTTGACCTTTTCCGTGTGTGCACACCATCTCCAATACATTGAAGGAGGCTTAACCTGCTGAAATCAACAGTGACTAGCACGATAATCAGGCGTAACTCAATAGAATGTAATTATAATGACAGCTCGGAGGGTTTGGGTTTTTCTGAGTGCAACTCGACATCCTGATTGATTTACATGCAGAGCCCTGATTAAATAGCGATCGTCTGAAGCGTTCGGCTGCTTCTTGTCGAGTTGCTTCTTGTCGAGTTGCAGCAGGTAAAGTAAAGTTGTGTCTTCTTTGCCTCAAAGCGAGGAACAAAAAAAAATGTTGCAACAGCTACTTTGTGCCTAGTGTGGCTTTAATTAATGGTGCTTAAAAATTAAAAGATTAAAGATAACAATATTTTCTTTCTAAGAAAATCGTTGGAATAATTAATCACGCTTGGAAGACGGGTAGCGAATTCACAAAGCATTGCAGGTGAGAATAAATGGCAATCAAATAACATTCAACGGCAGCCGTGGAGGGATCAGGCGACCGGTATAGAAAGTGAATCTTTAAGTGTGAGAAACGAGGAGCGTGCAGAGAAATCCCATTGCAGAGATGAGTTTTATTTCTTGGCCTCTTTGAGCAGAGACAGCCGATAGCGAGAGATTTATAAATTCATCCGAAGTTGAAGAAACATCAAAAGCCGACGCGCTTGTGGAGCTTTGAGACACGTCACGTATCTGTTGCTCGGCACGGCGTCTGCAAATTGTGGTGATTTTAAACGCAATTTTCTTTTAAATATCTCATCTTAGAGATATCTGAGAGATATAACTACCCTGCACAGGGGTGGTATTGTTTGTAATGGATTTTCCACCAAGAAAAAGAAGCTCTTTAAATAACCCTTCCAAGCCCAATCCAGTGCTACTCGCTCATTGAGAATTCCCGTCTATGAACAGCAAGCTGCCTCGGGCCTCGCTCTGCTCCCGCTCCGCCTAGAGCTGACCGCCACGTAAGCCACGCGCTTTCAAGTCATTTGGAGCCGATGTTCATCTGTGCTTTACGTCAGTGGGCTCAGGAATACGGCACGCTGCTGCTCTCGTGCAAAACGCCACCGAGCTTGAAGCGTCTCTGCGCCGGCGCGTGATTGCTCTTTTTTGTTGTTGTTGTTGTAAGTGAATGTTTCCATTTCCACATTCAAGGGCCGTTGACACGCCAAAGAGCGAACACAACAGTTGCTTCTCAAATCACGTAAACCGGCGGCGTTGAGTGACTTTTCAAAAAGCCCACAGAGATTGAATTTGCTTGTCGCCGGTGTTTCTTTTGTTGTCGTTCACTTTACTTGCTCCCGCCTCTGTAATTGTCCGGCCCTGATTGAAATACTCATACATCCCCTGCGCTCGCCTCTATCTGTGTTGCTCCGTCCGATACGTCGGATACGTGTTCCTCATGTCGTTCTGCCCTTTTTGATGATTTTCAATGCTAACTTCTGGAGTCAACCGTGTTAATTTTTTAATGAATCATCCCTCTTTTCCCCAATGTCTGGTCTGCATGTGCGTCCATCCCTTTTTGTCTTTTATCTCCTCTGTTACAGTCTGCAAGGTTTTCAGTAATCCTTTCATTTTATGGCCAATTAGGCGCAGGAAATGCAACGCAAAACCGAGCGGGATGCCATTCGATCACGTGTGTTCACTCGAGGCGCTTACGGAGACGCATGCTAACGCCACGGAGGACACCGACAGACTTCCAGCCATCGACCTGTAATCCCGTCATGTGAGAACCAGGCCTCTGAAAAAATCATTTTTTTCAGACCATAAACGAGTGATGTAACAAACCATTGACCTCTGAGAGTTCACCGCAATAAAGATGAACTTTTAGCCTTACAATGAGCCGAAACTTAATTTGTGATGAGTTTTGCACAAATATTCGTCTGTATACTATCGAATGTCCAAAAGTAGACTTCTTTTTTGGTGCCATTTCTCTAAAAGTTCACGCTTCCGTCCTTGGAAACAAACAGTGTGACTGTTGCTGCCGCTGTGATAAATACACTGACGCTCGTTGAGTTTTGAAGGCAATTTCCTCGTGTCATCTCGGCGGCTCGGTTGTTGATGCTTTGCATTCAGCCTACAGGACACGTTTCAAATGTTGTTCCCCCCCCCCCTCCCCCCCCACC